ATCCTTATTATATATTATTTTATGCTATACAATCTTATCCTAATTTTATCATATCCTGTTGTTATCTAATGTTATACAACCTATCCTTATTATATATTATTTTATGCTATACAATCTTATCCTAATTTTATCATATCCTGTTGTTATCTAATGTTATACAACCTATCCTTATTATATACTATTTTATGCTATACAATCTTATTCTAACCTTATCTTAACCTATCCTAATTTTATCGTATCCTATGTTATGTTATATAATCTTATCTTAACCTTATATCATCTTATCATTATTTTAATCTGTTAAGAATAGCAGCTTTCATAAGTTCTTCGGTATATGGCCCCTTCCGTCTTTTAGGTTTCCTCCTTTGTCCGCGTCGTTTTTCTGCCACGTGCTGTGCCCGGCTGTCTCCTGCTTGTTGCCACCAGGAGGGGAGCAGATCCAGTGGCAGCAGACATGGTCAGGGAGTGCCAGTGCGGCATTTTGTCTGACGGCCTCCATTTCTGGTATTGGTTGGTCCTTTGGGACTATTAAGATAGGGGACAGCACATTTAATTATAGTGGATCCTTATGTCACCATACAACCAAAAAAACATTATATACAGAATTAAAGTTAGAATTTGATGATCAGTGGTTATTGTTGACACACCAGAGCACACTGTGCACAACAACTGTATTTAACCCATATATGGACATCGTGACATAGCAGGGGGCAGCTAATTCAGCGCCTGGGGAGTAGTGTTTGGGGGCAGTACCTTGCTCAGGGTACCTCAGTGGTTTCTTGCTGGTCGGGGATTGGAACCAGCAATCTTTCAATTACAAGTGCACTTCCCTAACCATTAAGACACCACTGCCCCTAGTGGGGGAGCCCTGCTATTTTCCCTCCTGTAGAGAGTTACGGCTGAGTTCTCATTCAGGCACATAACTACATAATGTAATAATGAAGTTGTATTATCAGTATCGAGGTCCAGACTTGCTGTGTGTGTGCTTTATCAAGAGGAGCCATATATTCAAGCCTTAAGCTAATAATGCTCCCCTTTCGTATCTATACACAAACGTATTGATGGTTGAAAAGTGATTCAGCTATGCATTTCCATGTACAGCGCTGTCAGCAGTAGTTAAATGTAACGAGTAAGTTGCCTACAATTAAGCCATAATTAGAATAAAAAATATTACGCAAAGAAGTATTACCAGCGATTGAAATAGTTTCAGTTCTTTAAATACACAAATATCGAAAAGACAGGCGATGTTTTTGCGTAAATAGTTTGTTTCCCGCAGCACACTAAAGACATTAAGAAAGATATGAAAGAAATAAAGTAAGACATTAACACGACAGCGAAATCGTAAAACTACGAAGCAACGGTTGACGTCATGATTTCAGATCAGCGCGCGACAGGGGGAACTGAATTTTCCGTAACACCTGTTCGCCTCTTCTTTACCCCGACCTGCAGAACTGTCGTAAACGTGGAAATGAGTTGCGTTGTGAATCTGCGGTGGATTACTTTTCCTCAAGGACCCGGATGTGTGTCACAATAGATTGAAATTGAATTTGCGAACTGAAAACTTTCGAGGTAGGATAAATGCTGTTTCAAGTTACTGGAATTCAGATTCAAACTATTAAATTCAGATTCAGTTTTTAACTGCAAATTCAAATATACAAAATTCTTATTCAGTTTCTAGTGGCACAAATATCAGCCCATACACAAGGTTCAGTCTGTAAGGCATTATTATTGGTTGCTGTATCGGTGTTGTATTCTTCAGTTATGACCATGTGATAATATTTAGACTTTTAATCATCACCACTGAAACTCAAAATTTGTGAACATTTCAGCAAAGAGCTATGTTCGTTGTTTTATCTGATATGCAGAGTAATGTCTAAATAGGGACAACCTAAGTAAAAGATAATATGTTTAAATGTATCATTATGTTGTAGAAGTTTGTGCTAAAAGACATTATTTATGCATGCAATTATAATTGCCCTGACGTGACATAAAATATTTATCCTTGTGCTAATTATCCAAGTTTTCTTTCTCTCTCCCTCTTGGGTGGGTGGGACAGCCTTGTAGGGCAGGGCCTGGTACAGTCGTACAACATATAGAGAACAAGACAGGTGCGTAGTGATGAAATAAAACAACATATAGTAAGACTGTGAAATTTGCCCCTGCTTCTCAGATGGTGAAATCTGCTGAGGGGAATCCCCCCCTCCCATTCGGCAAAATCTGAAGACTGAGGGGGGAGACCCACACCCTTGTTTTAATCAGTAGAACTGCCACACTCCTCTCAGAAATCAATATGTCAACGTGCTTGGAATAAGGCATTTTCCACACATCCCTTTTTATACAAACTTTTTTTTTTTTTTATACAAACTTAATATCACATCACAAATTCGATTTTCTATAAACGGTGCAATCCCCATGTACATCGGCTGTAATTCTGACAAAGTCCACGGTTGTAGGGATGAGTCTGGCCTGCGCAGTTCACACATTCAAGGGACTGAGCATCCCAGCCGGTGAGCCCCACATGTGGACCCCAACACCGGATCGCCAGTCTGCCACCAACCTAATTACCCGTGCTACTGTGCCGAATGTGCTTCCATTGTATCCTCAACCAAGATTAAGTAGAGTTTTAAGTTAGAAACTAACACCTCCTTTTCAATGATTATTCAGAGCCATCTCGGCTGCTGTGGGAACCACCACCGCGTCACACTGCCCTCCCCTGTAAATTATGTAACAAGAGGATGTTACTTTTGTGTTAACTTTTTATTATTAACACGATGATGCTGTCAACATTAAGCAATAAGAAAATACACAATAGATGCATGACGCAGCTGAGGACCACTGCAGAGACGCACAGGACGGCGGCTGCTGCAAGTCTTTGGCTGGTTTTCAAAATGCTTTTCATCATTTCTTCTTTTTATTTGCAGTTGTCGTTAACACCCACACAAAACAAACGTAAAAATCAAAACAATATATCATACTTTTCAAATTGTGTAACACTTCATAGACAATAAAAATAACTTCTTTTTACAAAAAATTATAAATATTCTGTTCTCATTTTTTCCGTCAATGTTTATACAAAACAGAACTATACAAATCAAGTTTTGCATGAGATTGATTCGATATAAACAAAATATTAAAAATAAAATTAAAAAGTAAAACGACAGCAGGTCTGCAATGAGACAGGCAAAGCCATCTGATAAGGCCTCGCTGGATATACATACTGAACAAAGCAGCAAAACACAACGAAACCGAAATGAAATTCATGAAGGAGTTCACACATGTTTTCTCCTAAGGCAACAAGCCCATTCGCAACTCAGGGCTCTGGGTTTTTTAATTATTATTCTTTTAGCTCTTCGTTGTAGAGTGCAGTCAACAATATAGGTCTCTCTTCCCTTATTTTGGCTGGATTGAGAAAGGCATATGTAGTTTACCAAATGAAAACGTACAACTGTCAAATTCGGGAACACAGACAAGGTGATGAGTAGAATGACGTGTAGGATACACATATAAACACATACATGAAACTACCTATAATCCACTGTCTAGTTCAGTCATAAATGTTCATTCTAATCTATCCCATTGTGAAGTCATGTGCAACGGCATGTTCTCCAGATGGACATCATCAGCAGATACCACAGAGCCCTCCTTGTGAAAAATTACTGATGCATTTGGGCACCCCCTACCTATCCTTCCAGCCCTGTCAGTACTTACAGTATATATATATATATATATATATATATATATATATATATATATATATATATATATATATATATATATATATATATATATATACCCCCCCCCCAAAGAGCATTTATTTGTACCAGACAACTTCAACCTTTTGTCATTGAAGAACGCACACTCAGCACACATGAAGCCCAAAAGCTAAAGTGGTCGTCCTGAGTGGTGACCTTGCAGATCAAAGTGCATAAACAGCAGAAAGCCACTATTCGCTGTTCATTCGAGGAGGTCACCTCACACTTAGTATCTGTGAATCAGGGCACCGTCTAAACGACCCAGTGCTTTCCTGCCCCTGACACTTGGGAAGGAGAGAGGAGGCTCGAGACGGCACCACTCCCCAGCTCCGCAGCACCAAAAAGGCAAGTACCAGGAAGGGCCGTTTCTACTGCAAGGCAGTGCTTGTAAGAGCTGTTAAGTAATAAAATCAAAACCTCAAATTCTGTCAGATGCATCCCACAATAAAAGCATTACTTCATATTATTTTCTTTAACGTGTCATCAGACTGTAAACCTATCGTAGAATTAGATAAACCAAAACTATCGGTCAGTTTGCTCTTGTCTCAGGGGTGCCCCCTAGAGGAAAGTCCAAGGACTTCAACCTTCTGAGCATTTAGTGAACTGTATTCATTCAACAGTCCCCTAACACCGTGGTCACGGTGTCCGACGGGGATTCACAACAAGGCCGCCACTGTAGTGATAAATTACACAAAATATCCATCACTCAGAGCCTGAATGACAAAGGCAAAAAAAAAAAGAAAAAAAAAAAGACAATTGTGATTGCACACTTCCAGCGTTTCCATAAACAGGAGGATCCGTTTCTAGGCATTTTGATTGTATAGACAACCAAACGCTGAAAAGCAAAGGATCACTCAAAATGAAGGAGATAAACCCCAAGGACTATACATTAACAACAATGTGGAATATCACACCTCAATCTGAGAGCTGCATTAACCCAGTACGAAGCACTCCTCAGAGTTGGGGTCACATACCTTTAAGGTACAAAAAAAAAAAGTAACGAGCGCATGCTGAAATAAAAAGGACTAACCGTAACGGCATAAAAACCTGCTACTTAAAAATACATTTAAACCAGAATTCTCATAGGTGTGGCTCACTTCAGGTTTAGGGTTATACCACAAAAACGGGACTAGACAGACGCACATAAGGACAGACACAGAGAAGTAGAGTGACATCATCACTTAGCGCCAGCTGAGGGGCGGGGTTTTCCGCCAGCATCTCACACTGACATGCAAATGAACGTGCATAAACCACTCGCGCACCAAGACGAGACGCAGAAAGCGACCGACTGGACGCCGCACGCGACGCAGACGGCCCTGCCGCCCCAAGGCTGCGGCCAGGGTGAAGGCGAGACCGCGGTGACGGGGCTGACGGGGCGTTAGGCCCCGCCCCTTCTGTCCCAGTACCTCGCCACCTGTCAGTCAAAGCGGTGAGAAGACACGAGGGAGGAGAAGAGCATGAAAAACAGGTGGGCAACATGGCACTAACATTCAAGAATGCTATTCACAGCTGCCTCCAGGGCTGAGTCTGCGTCGGCTGGGGACTTTAGAAGGTGGGGGCTGTTCTGGCCGGCATGGGGGCCCATGAAACCACCTGCGCTGTGGCTGCTGGCATTGCCGTCGACAACCATGCTGAGAGAGCAGCCTTGGGTCTTCTTGGGGTCCAGGACACTCTTGATGGCAGTCTCCAGGTGGGCACTGATGGACACCCCCGGCTGCTGCTGCTGTAGCGTCCCCCCTCCGGGGTCCTTGCAGCCAGGCTGAGGCTCTGTCCTGACCGAGGGGTCCCTCGACCCTCCTCTGAGCTGCACTTCTGTGAGCGTGCCGTCGCCATGGCGATGGGTGAAGCACGTCACCATGCTGCTGGTGAGGCACGGGAACTCCCGCGGCAGGTCGGCCATGCTGACTGGATCTGCCCCCCCAAGGGGACTAACCTGATCGCCCTTTCCCGTCTGCGAGAGCTTCGGCAGACAGCAGAAATCCTCCAGGTAGCCCTCTGGAAGAGGAAGAGCGCTCACACAATGCACCTCGCATAACACCATTAAATCACACCTGTTACCCCAGCTCTGCTAGGACCTCCAGCCGCCTATATGTTCATCCCAGTACCAGCACAGCAGATTCAGCTAATCACCTAAATACCATTCCCAGTGAGACCAATCAGTTGTTTGGGCTGGTAAAGTATATGATGCCACTGCTTCACCTGCATGCGACTTCTGAAGTCAACATGATTCTGGCTTAATACAGCACTGATTCGCTATGTCATTTCAGATGGGGGGGGACGGTCTGACATCTGGATAAACATGCAAGTCAGCCCGTGTGAGAGAAGAGGCAGGCTGACACGTAGCTCTGTTGGCTTCATGGACTGACATACGCAGACATTATGAAGAGAAAATTAGAAGGACACTGGCCTTCATTCCAGGATCCTCTGTGAACCAGACTGTTGATTAATCCAATGATTTCCTCTAACAAATGATACTGGAGTGGGCTAAGTACCATGCCTCCGTCCATGACTCACCTGGGTCCACCATGGCCAGTCGCTTGTCCTGTGTTAGACAGCGCCTCTCCTCTTGGTTGAACGTCCTGTCAATCATCACTATCTCTGATGAGGGACACACCCGCTAGAGAAATGGCAGACCGATATTTATTTTTATGTTAGAGGGAGGGGTATTTTGTGTTGTGCTAAACCACCAGACAGGCCTGAGATTATCAGATTCTGGACTCAGAAGAACAGAATACAGCATATCCCTTGCATCCAGCATGCATCATTGTTTGAGCCAATGTTAAACTGCTGCGTATTACGGCAAAGTGCTTACTTCAGCCTCGACCAGTAGGAGGCGCTGGTATTTGCTCAGCATGGCTTGGGTTCGCTTAAGGGCATGTGAAGCTGCCTCTTCAAACTCCTCGTCCACTGTGATGAAAGGGAGGCACATCGTTAGTGTCTGTTGGCCTTGTGAAGGCTGCGATCTCAATTGCTTCCTGTAAGGGAAACTGGAGGACGGTACCTTTTCTGAGGTCATCGCTGGAAGGCAGGGCCCCCTGGAACACGTGGTAAGCAAGGAGCCGGCGGGCTGCATCCTCAAGGGAGGAGAACGGTGACCGGTCTGGTGCCAGAGCCCTGGCCTGGTCCCACTGGAGCTGCTGGAGGATCCTGCAATATTGCAACATCAGGCAGGTCAGCATGGACTCATAAACAGAGTCAGAGTCTCATACACAGCTAAGCAGAGGCAGGTAAAAAAAAAAAAGAGGCAGGGAGGGAGAACATGGAGGACAAGCTGGCACTTACATGTCGCTCTTGGTCAGCTGGCGGGGGGCAGGTCTTTTCAGCATGCTGACCTGCGTGGGCAAGAAATGGGCTAATTAAAATCACACCTCACCTGACATTCGGCCTTGACAGCGGGCACCTGCCTCTCAGGGGCCGTACACTCAGTGTGGAAGGTACTCGCCTGATTGCCTACTGTGGGAGTAGAGCCAAGCTGGTTTGGCAAGTACACCACCGTTTCCAGGGCTGCAGATGCCTTCAACGCTGCAGGAAAAAGCAAGTGTTACTTCACAAACATCAAGCTGGCCTATGTTCAAACAAGATGAAGGACATGTGTGGTGTGTGTGCATGTGGGCCCAAACATCAATCTACACCTGAGGGCTCTAGAAACAGTCCACCGACTGTGCGCTCTACAGTGGAATACCACCCATGGCCTCTAGGGGATTTTACCTGTGTGGCCAAGCAGGTTGACCAGCTGTGGTTGCCTCTGCCCATCTTGCATCTTGGTAACACTTGGTGTGAATTGTGAGTCCTGGAAGGAAAAAGAAAGTTTAGTGCTGGTCCAGGAAAGAAATGGAGAAAAATCCACAGTTAAGGAGCCCCAGGACATGGCAAAGTATGACATCACATCAAGGTCCATTCAGTGACTGAATACTCGCCTGGTTCTGATGGGGTAAATGCGTCTCAGGCTGCAGCTGGCGGGTGGAGTCCTGCTCCCGGGAAACCAAGAACTGCGATCCCAGCTGAAGCTCCTGGCCACCCGGAAGCGCCGTCCCTTGCATCGTCTGCACCTGAGTCGCGTACCCAACGCTGGCCGAATCCGTGGCATTGACAAGCGCATAGTGGCCCTGAACGGGGGCAGAGCCCAGTGCGCTGGAGCCGGCGGTGAAGGCCACGGGGGCTTTTGCTGCCACCGCCGGGGTCTGAGACATTTGGACTAAAGCTGGGGAACACTGTCCCAGCTGGCTACTCACCACGCTCTGGTTCACCACCAGCTGCCCCGCTGTCAAAAAGTTCTGCCCAGAGACAAGCTGCACAGCCATGCTCTGATTGGTCAGGAATGCCCCAGAATAGGTGCTGGTGGCAGTCTGAGTCACGAAGCCTTGGTTGGATGTACCCTGGACCTGCGTCTGTAGGACCTGCCCGTTCAGAGCCTGGACGGCGGGCGTGGCTGTGCCAGGGGTAAAAGGCAGAGTGGAGGGCAGCCGGTATTGCCCCAGGGGTAAGCTGGTCTGGTGCTGCTGCCCCACAGCCGAATGGATCACTATGCTGCCCGAGTGGTTGGCCACCTGGGGGCCCAAGGCAGGCTTCTGGAGGCCTGGCTGGTTCACAATGTTAACAGTCATCTGTTGGGGGCTCTGGGTGGGGCCAGTAGCGTAGGTGCCACTGCCAGGGGCCGGGCCTTGGGGCTGCAGACCCAAGCCACTGACACTGTATACAGTCTGCCCCCCTACCTGTAAAGGCTTAGGCTGAATGGGCTTAACCAGCATCTGTGGGGAGGGACCTCTCTGGATAATGATGTTCTGGAGAGGTATGGGCGTCGTACTGCCTTTGAAGGGCATGGACACCTGGCCGCCGCCAGTAGAGGGGCTGAACGTGGCTCCCGGTGTTGCCCCAGTGGCACACGATGGCCTCTGCACCAATGCGCCCCCTGCTAGCCCGGGCGAGTCGGGCTGACCCGGCTGCAGCAGGATCTGAGGCCGCTCTAAGCCGCTGATAGTCACCATAGAGGCGGGCTCTCCGAAAGATCCCATTAGCTGGATGTGGGCGGCCGATCCATTTGGCACAGCTGGAGGAGGCGCCCCCTGGTGGAAGCCCTGGGACTGCACCCCGGTGAACTGTGCACATGGAGACATGCCGACACCCCCGGACACAAGCTGCTGAGGGAATGCCAAGGAGGAGCTGGGAGATTCCAGGAGAGCCTCTTGCGCCAGGGTCTGCTCCGTGATGTCTGCCTCCTGCAGAGACTTCTGGAGGATGTCGAAGGGCTGCTCCTCCCCCAGCTCTGCCGCCGACGGGGAGGCCCTCCCTAGCTCCTCCTCGATGAACTGAAGGCTGCTGGGGAGCTGCAGTGTGGCCCCATCCACCTCGCCCAAGTGGTTGGCAGAGTCGTTCAACGCGGAGACAGGGTCGACCTATCAGAGGAGAAAGGCGGCGTGAAGGGTGGCGACGCCCCAGTGGATTTCATGGGTGCAATGAAAAAAGGCAACTCTTACGGAGCCGCTGATGAAGAAGCTGGCCGAGCCGAAGGCCGCGTTCGCCACATCATCTTCATCGATCTGCAAAGAAAACATCCACCTTTAGATGCATGACTGAGTTAATATTATTACTATGGAGGTTATCAAAGATAGCACAACCCAAGGAAAAAATCTCCCATAAGGTACAAGACAATCTTCCCCTTTGTTCACCCAGTTCCTAAAGAGCAGCACTATTTCCTGCCTCAAAACATTTCACATGGTATATGGACTATCATCATGGTGGCAAGAGGAAAATGTGTAACTGCCAGGAGGAGCAGTTCAGCGGCTGCCGGCTTGTGGGCACTAAGCAACTCCGAGGTGGGGAAGGAGAAGCTAAGTCACTGGAGGTCAATCTACGGCCCTATTCCCCACCGAAGGTCATGAACCAAGGTAATGACCAAATGCAAAACGACACAAGTACAAGCAGACGAAATATGGCTTCTCTCCAGGGTTTCTGGACTAACATTCCAAGACCGCGCGGAGTTCTGGAAAGACGTTGCTATTAGGAAGCAGCTCATGTGGTTTTGATATTTTATAAGGATGCTGCTTAGCTGCTAGGTCCCAAGCTGGGAGTCTCCCTGAATGAGCTGCAGTCTATGGCCTGACCTGTTTGCAGTGTTACCATCACAAGGAAACAAGGAAATTATGGACATATGGACTGATACAGACAGTGAAGAATACATATAAATAATTTTAATATCCATGATATATGCCTTGAAAATTCTATGTAAATACTTCAGAATTCAGCTACACTAGCAAGACTATTCCCCACCATCTGGTTCTATAACCTTAATGAAATGCTTTAAATAAAATGAATAGCTTACTGATTTGTTGCTGGAACCATGAAGATAATCATTCAACGCCTGCACGTCTCTGTGGGACAGAAGAAAGAAGATTAACTCAGGATCAGGAACATGATTGTGGGCCAGGGACTGGAAATCTAAACACAGGAATGTCTGAGAGTGCAGGTCTAACAGTCTGAATGCCACAGCGTCTTCTGCATCCATGTTTCAGGCCAAATTTTCAAAAAAAAGGGGGGAGTGGGAATTTTAAATGGAAAAAAAGATCTCGCCCTTTGAGACTCACCCTATGATGTCTAGAAGACGGCGATCATCTTCATCATCCATGGTGACTGTGTGGCAGGGGGGAGGGGAAGGATGTCATTTGTGACACTGAAATTACATTTGGCCTAGTGCCACAAGCAAATGACTCGATGCACTGTGGGACACGCTAGTCACTCACGTGTTTACAGGAATCATGGGACTTCTCATCGGATGCCTCTGAGCTCCTACACAGACAAGAGAGGCACTGAAATGTAAAAGCGGGAACCAATCTCAATCAAACCACCATTAGAATTCTAAGGCTAGTAATCACATAGGTAGATTATTAAGCTATAAGTAAATCAATGAGGCTGACTTATGGTTGCCTGAAACAGGTCAACAGAATATGAGCAAGTAACAAAATGATGAGAAATAAAGCGGCATTCTGATGTTTAAGCAGGCCATTGTAAAGCTTATGGGAATTCTGAACTGGTCTTCAGTGAACTCATATAAATGACTCACACCACGATAAAGAATCAGCTACTCACCAGGTTATTTAATCCCATGTCACAGTCTTTACTCAGAGGCATATACCATTGTAAACAGGTTTCCCACAACACAATTTATAATACAAGAATGATAATAGAATTAATGACTAGAATTCTAATAATAGATAATAGAATAACAGATAATAGAATTCTCTCTAAAATCACCAAACTATCTGATAATATTCCACTACAAAACCATTGAGAAATCATTTTTGTAACAGCATTAAATCACTACAAATTTGGGCCTTTCTTCTGGTGTATTACAGTGATCATGTAAACTGTTAAATGACTCTTTGGAAAAGAGAATTTATGATTTTAACACACAAACATCCACTTCACCAACAACCCAGGAGCAAAGTGAAAGAAGGAACTCCACTGGGGCGACCAGAGCCAAGTGTGAGTGTTTTCGCTGCCAAGAGTTGTGTGCAAAACAAACCAAAAAAAAAGATGAAACCACAAAGATGGGACCACCAGCAGTGCGGGTACAGTGTGGGTACAGTGCGTAGCCATGTGACAATCACTACACCCAACAACCACAGAAAAGATCTCAGCACCATATATAAACACCTTCCACTGTAAAAATAAGGAACAGGGGACTAACTATAGGTCTGACAGGGTTCTATACCGTTTATGTGTACTGGAAGACTGCATGAACTAAGTTGTTTTAGGCAGGCAAATAATATATATATATATATATATATATATATATACATACATACATACATATATATATATACATACATACACACACACAAACATACATATATATGTGTGTGTAGATAGATAGATGAACACACACACAAAAATACATATTTAAGAAAATACAGACGGAATGTGGGTGACGTAAGTGCCACATATATACACATACATGTATGCTTGCTTTTATACACACACTGAGGGCGGAACCAAAATGGCGGCCTGTCCTTGTCTTACTGCGCCACACAACTTGGCTCCTTGCCAGCCTCTCAACAAAGGCAGATTCTACTGCCGGAAATTATTTTTATTTTCAACCTCAATCACTATATAACGTGCAGAATAAAATATAGTTTGAATAAAATATTTTGCGTTAGTATGTGAAATAAACCATCTGGTCAAGGGGGGAAAACACGGAAAGGCCCAGGCTTGTAATAACCTTGAAAATGACATCAATAATTTCTCTAATACTAAAAATTTAATTTTAAAATAAGCAGCTGATTGAAAATAATATTCATGGTTTAGTCACAAATAACAAATGGAAATAAAAAGTCAACACTACTCCAAAGCAATCAGCCCAGACAAAAATACTTTTTTTTTTTAGCCAATTTGATAGCTATCTAATCGGTTCATGCTTAAAAATAAAAACTCAAACATACATACATTTCGCCTCTTTATTTCATTAGATTAAAATCATACAACACATTCACAGAATATTTATTAAAATACACAAAAATATACACAAGAGCAGCAGCACTTTGACTGCTCGCAGCGGATAACGAGCTACAGCTAGCTAACAATAACCAACACTCGGACTGGAAATGAGATTACTAATAGTTGTTAAAAAAATCCTGCGCTCTATGACACAAAATACAAACGTGACCAATAAAAAATAGACATTTAAAAATAAAGTCACACCGTTGCGAGGAAGCGGATTTTTAGAAAAGTAGCTCGGTACGGAAGTTTATTTCTTTCTTTTTTTTGCCAGAGCTCAACACGGGGAGGGGGCGGAAAATCGACGCAGGAGAGGAAGAAAAAACTAATTTTAAAGCAGCTCAATCACACCGAGTCACCGAAACGTTTCCCCGGATTAGCTGTCGCTGCCTCCGCGCCGTCGCCCACCAGCTTCACGTCTTTCGCTCGCTAGCTGTACGGACACCTTAAGGCGACTCTGTCCGCCGCGTCTCCAAGCCGAGCCGTGGCGCTTCCCCCCCGTGCTAAAACGGACGGATAGCGGGGATCGCATCGTTAGGGCAGACGCTCCCTATGCTAGTCCCGCTTCGCACTCGGCTTTCCCGAACCCCGTTTCCCAGCTCGCCCCGCCGCCGCCGTCCTCTTTCCTTCCTTCACGGAGACTGCGAAGAAAGGTCCAGCCTTTTATAATTAACATCGTTCCTAATTCTTCCAAGCACGGCACGGATGAAAAAGTCTGGGACGCTGCCGATGGACGGCCGATCGTCTGTCTGCTCCGCGGATGTGCAGCCGCACCTCCCGGCCCCGAAGCCGCCTAAGTCTAATGGACTCTCCTTCTTCCCCGTGATCTGGCCGTATGGGAGCCTCGGCTCTCTGCTGTCGTGGCTGCCTGAACTGGCTTAGATAAAAAAGGACGCCTATAAATATTTATTCAGATTTGCATAACATCGAGACGATTAAAGAAAAGGCTAGCCCTTGTTCCCGTCTCACCCCTCTTCTTGAAACCTAATATCTCCATTTGGCAACTTTTAATTTGCTCCCCCTCCCTTCACCTCCTCCTCCTCCTCTCCCTCTCTCACTCTTATAGCTAGCTATATATTTTTCTCCCTCTCCTTTTTTTCCTCTCAGATAGATTTTTCCCTCTCTCGCTCTCTTCCCTCCCCGAAGGAAGGGGAGGAAGGAGGTTGTGTGTTTTTTTTCCTCCTTGAAATTTTTATCACAAAATTATAATACACTCAAAGGGGAACTCACCGTCATGAAAAAGCAGTGCCTTGTCAACGGGGTTTCCTCGCCATCACATCAGGGGCCAGCGGGGCAGTGCCGCTCCTGCAGACGGGCAGCAACTGCAGGCAAGCAGCCCCGAGGAAACTACCACGATCTCTGCACACAGAGAAGCAACGGAGGAAGGTTGTTAAAGTCGTGCACGGTGCAATTTAAAATATAATATATTAATTTGGGCTCCAAAACAAAAATGCATTCGAAAAAACGGTACTTGGGGAAATTAGGACGTTCAAAGCAGCAGGGTGCTGAATTTGAACTTGACAGCTCTATAAACTCGAACACACGGGGGCAGAATTGCCAACTTGGCATGGAAATCTATGAGAAGGAACGCAAAATATTTAGTTTTTTTTCTTTGCAAATGGCAAACCTTAGGTGTCCATGGCAGGTCTAGAGTTAATATTTCATACAGTTATAAATCATATAAAAGAGGACTAACATTAACACAAAGAAAATATATGGCTAAATATTGCTGAAGTGTGCCATATAAATTCACATAACTTGAAAGTACACGATAAATACATATCCGCATAACCATACCTCTTGTTAAACCGGTCTGGTTATTATGACCAAAATTGAAGTACTCTGCCATGCCTAAATGTAACACTGAGTCTAAAATCCTTATTGAAACGACCTCTCAACGCGGCTCGTGTTAATAAATCGTGGCAAAATAGAATTATTTCAATCTATTTTAAGAAAATAGTGAAAAGTTTTATGTAATGTTTATGCCAGGCTTTGCTTGTTGTATACTGATTGCAAGATGGCCTGTGCTCCTGGAAGCGGTTATATTAATCAGTTAATGATAAAGCAAAACCATAAATCTGTTTGCATCGTTGCTGCTTGGAATACAATAAAATTATACAACACCAATAACGCAACTCTCCTATAAATTTCAGTCGAGGTTTTTAAAAATTCACAGTGAGCTTCCTGATATGCAACTAGGTCACGTTAAACCAATAAGAAAAGTGAATGCTGGGAGGAACATGAAAAATGATCAAATCATAAAATCGTTTGCTGGGCAGCACTTGAAGAACGATTTACTTCCGGCAAATAGATAGTCTAAAGTTTCACTTTAATAATCGTTGGGTGTAAGAGGTGCCTGCGGATAGTGGTGGAGGATAATTAAAAATCAACGAGCAGTTACACAATAAAAGTTTCGTAATTGTATGTGCATCTTGTTGTTAGTAGTAGAAACTGGTATTTATCCGTCTTCTTCTTGATAACATGAACGAAACGGAGAATTAAAATTAATGGACATGTATGTCATGATGTTGTTAGGCAGTGTGTCCTGCGACGCATGATACCGTGACAATGCAACGGCAATGTTACTTATAGTCATTCCATATGGAAAATAACCTTCATTTTACGAACATACTGATTCCTGAATATATTTTTAATTTGTTTTACAGCAAATAGACGCAGAGCGGGTGGGTGAGCGGAACAATGTTTCGCTGGTTTTATTTACTTTTTTCAATACGTGAAGATACCGCATCATACTGGAAGGGTGGCACATATCATGTCATTTAATATAATCCATGCACTGAAATGAATTTCGACATACTCCTGAATTTAAGATCGTATTCCCTAACCGATCTATTCTCAATATTGATAATTAATTTGTTGAGAATTGCATTGTTTATTAGACGGACACGTTAGAATATGGAAACATATACGTAGTGTACAGAAGTCAACCACAGGATAAACATGCCGTATCTATATCAATGACACCTAAGAGGAGTGTTTCCAACCGCAAAATATAAAGACGGCTAGACTTGTATGTGGTATGCAAACTTTCGTGACTCAAAAAACGACTTTTGCAAGTTAGGTTATTAATAATATATCTTGCTGGCAGATAACACCCCTATTAAAATGAGTAAGATGGCGTACTGCTATCTTACTGATTATTGCTGCTGAATATATTTAGGCATAGCCTTGCAATTGAAGGGATCGCAAAAAGTGTTAAATGTGTAGGTGTTGAGGAAGTAGTAAGCCCATTTTGCTCCATAAGCAAATGGAGAAAATATATAATTTGCTTTTAAAAACTTCCTTTCCATTTTATCATGCCAATAAAAGTTGTGGTTTAAGGTCTGTGACGTTTGGGCGCTATCCTGAACCATCCCATAATAGTGGGACTTGGAGCATGGAAACATTAAACTAATTATACCATTGGGCAGGAGATTAGAGCTGCACTCATCTGGAGCCATGGATTTCTGCAAATGGGATCAGGGTGATTAGCGTGTCCACAGTGACGTGCTGGAACTTTCAGCTTGGTCATGAGTCTTCGTCTAGATTTCTTCTTTTGAAGCAAGGTTATACTCAGCAATAGGTGACCAGACACATATTCTGTGGATTTTTGCTAATTAATGAAAAACAAACCTCATATTTGGTGACAGAAACGTCTGCCACTTACAGCATGGAGATCCAGATTCTCAGAATGGGAATACAGTGGAGAATGCATACAAATTTCTCTAGTGCAACAGTCTTCCAGGATAGATTACGCTTTTCAGGGTTTCGGTGCCATTAATTCTGAGTTTTAATTCAAACAAATCAAAAACAGTAGTTGTGAGACACTGAAACCCAGTTCTCTTGGGAGACTTTGGCTGAGGAACAGTAGTAGGAGGGAACCAAACTGCTAAATTTTTAGTTGTCCTCTGGGTGCAGGACTCCAGGACTGATAATGGCACTGATGAAGGTTAAGTTTGACTTGAAGAAGCGGGTGAAACTGGCCCAGGGATTATGGCTGATGTATTGGCTGACCGTGATGGCCGGTATCCTCATCTTCAGTTTGGGGGTCTTCTTCAAGATTGAGCTGCGTAAGCGGAGTGAGATGATGGACAACAATGAGAGTCACTTTGTCCCCAACCTGCTGATCCTGGCAGGGCTGATGGCGTGTGGTATCAACGCCTTTGGCGGGAAGATCTGTCACGACTCACTGGACCCGACAAAGTTCCCCAAGTGGAAGCCCGTACTGAAGCTCTTTTTGGCCGGCTTTGTCCTCTTCAATGTGCTGCTCTTCATTACGGCGTTCCTGTGCTTCACTATGCGCTTGGCCCTGCAGTCCACGCTGGCAGAGGGCCTGAAGAACAGCATGAAGTTGTACAAGGACACGGACACTCCGGGTCGCTGCTACATGAAGAAGATGCTGGACCTGACCCAGATGGAGTTCCGCTGCTGTGGAAATAACAATTACAGGGACTGGTTTGAGATCCAGTGGATCAGCAACCGATACCTGGATTTCAGCTCCAGTGAAGTGAGGGAGTGAGTATTCAGCTGCTGTGTGCGTTTGTCAAGATTTGTCCCAATTAGGGGTTAGTCTGGTGCATTTTTTACTGGGTGACAATGGGAAACAGAGTAGAAGCTATGATATAACTTTAATTTGCTGAAAAAATAGATATTATTTTGAAGACAACTAGCACTCAAAAGCATGGACGGTAAATACTCAAAGTTAGCCTATTGTAAGGGCGGGCAGTTGTCTAACACAGGTTATCTAGATTGTTGTAACACAATACAATACAGCACAGACATCCTACACAGAACATCACATTGTTAAAATGGTTCATAGGGCATGTTTCCCACAGAAGAACAAAGAGGCTATTTATGTGTTTTATTGAAGAAGTTAGAAATCCTGTTGTGCACCAGTACCAATTTATTGCCATATTGATTGGTAATGAAGTGTTTGTGGAAGAGGTGGTAGAGGTCAATTTCTCATGAGTAGATACTCTTCGTGTGTCTCATTCTATGTGTTTCAAAGCTCACTGTCCCTCCTCCGACAAGGCCTGTACAAGTTTCCATTAAAGCCCTGTGCTGTGTTTCACACTAGGGCACCAGTGTGAGAGTGAATCCAAGCCAGCATGTCTTTCCTAATATTTCTTTGTGGGATTTAAGGCTTTTCTTGACATTTAACTTTGAAAGGTAGCTTGAGGAATCGTGCCAGGAAATTTGGACTAATAAAATGTTTTCATACAGAAACAATGAGAGGACAATATTTAGATTAAACCTTTACTCATGGTTTTTGTAGGCAAATATGCTCAGATGTAGTAAGTGTGTATGCTACATTTTTTAATGGTGTGTGAGTTCACTAAGCCAAAAGTGCACCAACTGCTTAGGACAACCCGGATCTTCACCCTGTCACTCTCGCTCATACTAATCGCATCAGGTCAACCTTCTAATAAATGGCTTTAAGGCCTCGCTGTCCTCGTTAATCTGGGAGCGAAAACCTGTGCACCAGTCTCCCAGCAGCGGTCTGCAGCCTAGAGACATGCCTCCTCGGTAACGACACATTAATATTCTTAAGGTTTGTTCCCCCCTATCGTGAGGGTGTTAATGCTGTAAAGAGCATTTAACAGTATGGTAGGAATTTAATGGCAGTTTTTCATAGGATTTTATTTAGTGCAGCTGGTTCACATTAAAACAAATGACTGAACAGAAACACAAGGGAAACCCAGAGGGCTTGAAAGATCAGCACTTCCTCAATGGTTGAAAAAGAGCATAAGGACCTTTACTGTCTTCCTTTGTATATATAAAAAAGGTCCTTTCACTGTAAATCTGGTGATTGTTGCAAGACGTATGGAAGCTAAAAACCTGGATGTGTGCACGCATGTGCATGTGTATGACACGTGACCCATACTTGGTTCCCCCATGGGCAGCCGTGTCATGAGCAATGTGGAGGGCAAGTACTTGATGGACGGGGTGCCGTTCAGCTGCTGCAACCCCAGCTCGCCACGGCCCTGCATCCAGCAGCAGCTCACCAACAACTCGGCCCACTACAGCTACGACCACCACACTGAGGAGCTCAACATCTGGATGCGCGGCTGCGGGGAGGCCCTGCTCTCCTACTACGGCAGCATGATGAACAGCATTGGGGCCCTCGTCTTTCTGGTCAACATCCTGGAGGTGAGGAATGCACAGGCCACTGAATAAACACTCCATGTTCTTCAGCTTTAAATGTCCCATAATCCTCAATGGCTTAAACTAAAGCTAGGCTAACAACTGGAACCAGTTACTCCATTCACTGAGGCCCTGTTCTGGCACTTATGTGGGTGTAATAATGTGTTATTATCGATGATGAGAGAGGATTCAGCGGTGCCAGAAGGTGCATGGTAAGCCTAGGCAAGTTGGCATCCTCAACAGCAGGATTTGACGTCTTGGGTGTTCCAGCAGGCAGTGCTAGGCCCCTAGGGTGGAGCAAGCAGCCTGCATCTGTTTGGGAGGGTCCCAAGCGTGTTGTGGATCAGTTACAGATCACCTTCACCACACTGGAGACCTGTAACACCTATGGAATCAGGCTTGGTTAAAACACAGCTTTTGCTTCAGGGATCAAGCTGCTTCAGCTCCCACAGAATTAAATCTTACTATTTGAGAAATATAATTTATTATTGCGTACATTTACAAAGCATGTGATACTATTGGCAGGATACAACATAATTTGTATTTTGCAGTAATCCCAGATATGTGGACCTCAGTCAGTCATGCAGTTTACTCATCTGTCCCACAGGTGGCAGTAATGGTGGGCTTGCAATACTTGAACACGGCCTTGGTGACACTGGCAAATCCGGAGGACCCAGAGAGTGAGAGTGAGGGCTGGCTGCTGGAGAAGAGTTTTAAAGAGACCATCGCAGATTTCACACAGAAAGTTAAATCACTGGGCAAGGGTGTGCAGGTGGAAGCTGGGGAGGGTGGGCAGGAGCAGGCAGTCGCCACAGTGAGCTGAGATTGTTCCACCCACCCATATTTAAACCCCTCCCTACTCTTGGGAACAAGATCAAAGTGGGAAATATTCTCTACAAACAACTAATAATACCTGTCCAACAGAAGGCTCCTTTTAACTTCAGGTATTTTTCAGCAGCATTATTCTAAATTCCATGGGTAAAATCGTTTAACACTTCAGAATAAAAACAGGATGGCTTTTGCCTTGCAGCAGAGGCAAAAAACCTTCCTTCACGCCATCATGGATACCGTGTCCTTAGACACCTTCCGCAGAGCGGATGCTGAACCTGTTCACCGCGGATGGCATGTCCGCGTCACAGGGCCTTTGAAGTTCAGCCCAAGACCGCGACACTTAGCCACTGGGGTACAGAGACACAAGCAGAGTTTTAGTCACAATGCATTAATATAAAGCTGCTTTAAATAATCACAGGGTACAGAGTCTGCTGTGGGGACTGGGAGGAACAATGGGGGCTCTCTCAAGGAAGCGGTCCTACTTGGGGGCCTGATGGTCACTCCCAGTCCCCCCAGCTGGAAGCGAGAAGACTTGAGTGTTGGAATGAGGCAGCCATCTTAACCAAAACAACCACACAGACATACACCTAAAAGTTGTATCTTCCTGTGTAATACTCACTTAAATCCTGACCTTGGTCAGTAGTGTCCTTGTGTTTGTGGGTTATGTGGCGCTGGTAGGTTCAGCCCCAATGTGTAAGATAAACATTACGAAGACATTCAAAGGGTCTGTCTTTCTTCACTGGAGGAAAAGTCCACTAAACATAGAAGAGGAGTCAATTCCTCTGCATCTCATTAGGTTAGGGTGCCGTGCCTGTGCTCAGGGTGTTCAAATCCCAGGGTCTCACCGTTCGCAGTCTCAGTCTCACCATTGGGCCCTTGAGTCCCAGTTACTGCAGGGACCGGCTGAACCTGCTTTCTTAAACATAAAGTGTGTTGCTTTGGATGAGCACCTGCTAAATAAATCACAATGTTATGCATTTCTTGTGGTAACTTCATTTTAAATAGTAACCAAAATGGACAACATAAAGCAAGACATGGGGCAGCGCTGCACAGACTGAGGACCAAGACCAAGAGGGACAGACAGGGACACGGGGAGGGCAAAACGCCACAGGAAGCCGGGTTGGGGTGGTGTGGGAGGAATTCACCCCCCAGGGGGGTCTGCTTTAATTTCAGGGCATTGCGCCATGAACTGTGTAGGACATCAAGCGAGCAAATGACAAAGAACTGAGTAAACCCTGTGACCAGGCAGATCTTTCATCTTTGTTGTTGCAGCTTTTTTAACATCTGGTTATTCTACTGAAGTCTCATGCTGTGAACATGTGCAAGAAAATCCCATAACAAGACCCTGATGGACCCACATCCAACTCATATTTACACCTTAGACAAAAATTGCACAGCATGCATTTAATTATTTCTCTAAAATCATCAAATTCATGCACACTCAAAGTACATTCTTTTAAATCCGACAGCACGAGTTGCTAACTACTGGGGATTCAGACAAAGTAAGCAGTGAAAGAGTTAAGACTACAAAGTAAGCTGCTGTAATGAGAACAATTACCACCTTTTCTTGTTTGTGGTGGGGGGGGGGGCAGAAGGATTTGGGAAGTCATTATACACATGAGCTGAGGGGAAAGGAGAGCTAGGAACTGTGGGAAGGAGAGCATCAAGGATGGTTCCAGAGAGAAGTTACTGGTGGGTTTAGGCTCAAGAGGAACAACAGGTGTTGACAGTAAGCGGCTTTGGTCCCCAGATTAGCCTCCTGTCAACACTGTCCCGACACGCCTCCCTGGAAAAATGTTCAGAAGCATCTTGAGACAGGAGGAGTGCGATATTAGCATGGAGACACATCCCTCACATCCATGTAAGTATACTTCCTGTTTAGGTACCCAGTCAATATTTCCTGCTTTACGCTGGAAGTCTTTCCTTGGTTTTGTCTTTTGCTTAGAGGTTACCCATAGCCAGGATAAGGATCTAGATCCCCCACTGGGTCTAATCTCCATGTAAAGCCAGAGGTCTCATCCCAGATATCCGTTCACCTGCTAGTGGACCAACACGCTCGAGACTGATCAAGGACAGCATGACAACACACACTAAAAACAAACAAACAGGCCAACTATTTCTGCTTGTATTTTATTACTGTTTTACAATATAGTACATTGTACCCATTTATACAAGAATTCACATATTAACAAGTCTGTCCATTACATATCATAATAGCACATTCTCAGTACTGAAAGCATGTCACAGTATGGAGTGTGGCGGGGTGGGAGGTCACATGACAGCATGCCAACTGAGCATGGAGAGAAGGGGGGCGGAGCTTATTGTGCACACACCCTCCCACCTAGGGGGTGCTCAGCCTCACCCTCAGTGGGTAACTGGAAACAGGGTCTGAGATAATTTGTCACTACTGCTCTCCTTTAAGACCTGAAGAGTTTGGGGAACAGGAAGAGGCTGACCCACACAGTAAAATCTCATATTTATGAATGCAAAAAAAAAAAAAAAAAAAAAAAAAACTTGGTTAAAAAAAAATAATTGCCAAGTGCTGATGATTCCTGCTCATGAGAAAGTCCTTTCAAGGTTTAAAAATACCCACCTAACTGTACTTAAAAACCACACATTTCCTCAAATGAACAGCTAAATCCAGGCTTCCAGAAAAGAGGGGAAAAAAAATGTAATACTGGGATTCTTAAACTTCTATGCCGGTCTGGTCCGAGGTACCCTGACTGAGTGGAAGCAGGGAGTGCTATGAATGAGAACGTTGTTCCTCGTGTAAAAACTAAGGGTCAGAACTGAGAGAGCGAGAGAGGGCCCTTCTCATACGTAAATGACTCTACAGCTTGTAGACATGCCAACCAGGCAGGCCCACGCCCATGTCACGCCATCAAGGCAAGCATGTGTGCGCACACGCACGCACACACACACACACACACACACACACACACACACTCCCATACTTCAGAATATTGGCTTGTATTCAACTGTGTTAGGAGCTCCTTAAAAATTAGCGTTTTGTTTTAATAAAGGGACTAATTTGACTGCAGAGACACGTGCCTACCACTAGGAGGCATGTGCATGCATAAACAACATACTGAATAGAGGATCGTAACGTTGGAACTGAGGCTTCCATGCAAAGAGAACTTGTGCTTGCTTAAAAAAAAAAAATTAAAAAAATAATCCACATGTAGTGTCTTGCTGAAACACTACAGAAGTAAACAAAACCAAAGCTAACTTAAACTTATATATGGATAAAGAGAAGTAAAACAGCACTCTGAGCGAGATGCATTTTATATTAAATCAGAATGAAATGCTACCTTGGCTGAAAGGAGCAAGAAAGAAAAGAGGAACTTCATGCATTTTTTGTTTTCTGAGAAGGAGGGCAGGGCTGGGGGGGGGCCATACTGCATTGTCATGGCTACCGACATCCTGTGTGTGTTTGTGTGTGTGCGTGCGCGCACATGTGTGTGTGTTTGTGTGTATGAGACCCAGCCCCACCCTCACTGGCTGGTACAACTGCAGTCCTGCGGTGTAGCCCTCATGATAATTGGGGGGGGGGGGGTCCAACCAGGAACATCACAAGTGCTGCCAGTCGATCCCCACCAGTGATTGGTTGGCCTCCTGTGCATGCCCAATCTCTTCCGTGATGCTGTGCTGCCTCCATAGCTTCTGGATTTTCCGGTACCTCTCCTGGCAGAGGTGTAGCGGGTTCCCACGCCTGGGATGGGGGGGGAGGGGGGGGTTAGAAACATATAGAAGGATATAGGCCGTGCTTAACAAAAAAACGCTTCGCACCTGAGTCCCTGGTCCGTTTCTCCGTAGTCATCCAGGTAAGGGGGAGTGTAGAAGCAGCCCTTTGTCTTTCCAGCCAAGAAAAGCACCTGGCTCTCCCTGACCCTGCAACACAGACCCGAGTCACGCTTGGCACCGCGTCGGGGGGGCCGGCCGCTACCGGAGAGGCCGGCCGCTACCGGAGAGGCCACTACCTGAGGAAGATGCCCACACCGGCCCCGCAGGCGAAAGTGTGGGCGGTGCAGGCCCCCACGTCTTCGCCCTCTAGGTCTGTCTGGCAGCAGTAGCTCTGCGAGCACAGCATGGCGCCACACACCAGGCACAGGGTTGGGGCGCGAGACTTGTCACCCCCAGACTTGGGACACCTGGCAGAGGGGGAGGATTCAACACCGGTCACATCGCAGGGAGGGCTTTGCTGTTACTGGCAAGCGTGCGCCCTCGCCGGGCTTTTGACTGCTAGCCTGATGGCATGGTGCCCGCAGTGCCAGGCCCTCTCAGAGGACACTTACGTGAAGGTGGAGGCCTGATTGATGAGGGCGCTGTAGTCATCTGGAAGGTCGATCAGCCGATTGGACTCCCGGGGGTAGCTGCAGAGTGATGGACCCATCAGAACAGTTCAGGGGGCCCTGCTGACCTATTGAGGCCATCTTCAATGCATGGGGGCGGGGGACTAACCTGACAAGAGGGCTACTTCCCTGCAGCAGTCCCTGTATGCTTGAATGAGAGCACCACCTATGGGTAGGGGAGTGGAATTAAGCACATCCACCCAACTGGGGCTACCAGAGAAAGACACAAAGATAACTGCCGACCGGAACGCTCCCCGAGTCGTACCCCTGTATCAGGGGGTCCAGCAGATCCTGGTTACTGTGGTACAGCTGCAGTAAGTTGGATGGCAGACCCAGGTATCCGCACAGGTACTCCCACTGACCAGAGCCCCGGGCTGCAGTAGGGTGGGGGGGGAGGGGGACACATCACCATCATCATCTTCATCATCAGCACCACCACCTCAAGGTGCGCTTATGCACTGCCCTGGCACAGCAACTCACCGTGCAGCTCTGAGGGGGTGGGCACCCCATTCAGGTGGTGGAAGAACAGAGCCCCGGCCCTCAGGAAGGGCAGCACCCCTGCCTTCACGCAGCGCCAGAGGTGCCAGGCCGAGCCCACGTCACGTAGGGCACTGTAAGAAACAGGGTCAGCCATGGGGTGTGAGGGGGCAACATTCTCAAACAACCCAGACCACTGAAAAGCTGCAGGCTAGATGCCCTCCCCAGGAAACCGGCGCGCTTACCCGCCCAAGTGTCTCCGAAGGCAGCTATAGAGGGCACTGATGCTCTGTTCTTCCTCACTATGGCCACCTCCACTCTCCTGGTCCATCGTCACCTCTGCTGCAGACATGCACACACACAGACGCACGCTAAGTTCTCTCCCCAACACCCGCGGTGCCTCCTAGCGCCTTCGAGGCCCTGCCATTCTCACCTGGCGTGGAGGTCAGCAGGACTTGAACCACGTGAGCCACGGTGACCAGCTGAAAGAGGTTCTGCTGAGCCGCGTCCACGCTGAGGCCAGAAGAGTCCTGGATGTGCAGCGACGGGTAGGACATCACCATGCTCACCTGTCATCATTGAAACAGCATCATGGTCAGCAGCCATCTGTACATTTAAATGTGGCTCTAATGGATTCATACCTCCAGGGATGAGGGTTTGAACCCTGTCCCCCACCCTGTCCCCCACGTGCCTGTAGGGCTCAGATCGGAGGGCCACTCACCAGCAAGTGGAATATGTCCACATCCAGTAGGCTGGGGGAGCTCTCCACCTCGGGGTCCGGAAGCAGCGCTGCGGACACATGCCCCAAATCAGCACGCCTGAGTACCCGTTTAACACGTCACACCCCTCGTCACACCCCTCATCACACCCCCCAGCGGGTCAGTCTGGGAAGCCGGAGCACCTACCTGCTAACAGTCGGATGAAGTGTCCCTGCACCGAGGGAAGAGACGCTGTGGTCCAGCACGCCGCGGAGAACCGGGTCAGGGAGCGTAAGCAGTCATCCTGCAGACCCGACACACAGCGGGCCAATTACCACAAGTTTTAGTCCTGTATTCATAGATCAAACCTCACCTTCATGCCCAAACAGCAGGGGGTGCTAGAAGCACGCTTACCTGTCTACATGGCAAGCTACCAAAGAGGGGTTTCTCCTCGTCTACCAAGAGTCGCTCTGGGGAGCAGAGATAAACAGGTCAGTTAACACTGAAACCCATCTGATGTAGTATAAATACAAGGGGGGGGGGGGGTTGTAGCAGGGCCCACCTATAGATTGGATGGTGTAGGCACAGCTGCCCCAGCACATGATGGGGACGCGGGGGTCCTGTTCATTGGGGTGAACTTTAAGGCCAATTTTGTAGGTCGCCGTCCCAAACGTCGTCAGCATCTCCTTGACAGTACTGGAGAAGGGGTTCCTAAAGGAATGAGGACCAAGGGAGAAGTTCAGGCCGGGATCTTGAACGTGCTCTGATCCAGCAGGTCGTGGGGGTACCGGGGTGAACGTACACTGGCACATAGTCAGGCTTGAATCCCTCTGGGGGAGGGAAGTCTTCCATGTTGCTGGTCGCATCAACGGCCCCAGCATCTAAATTTACGGAGAATGGTCGTCAGTCCATCCCATGAAACAGGAAATGAATGCGTGAAGACACACATGCAGAAACAGAGAGCTGGGGAAGAGACAGGAAGCAGACACTCACCAACAGGTCTAAGCTTCCTGTGTGCTGAATGCAGGGATTTGATCTGCTGAGAAACAGTCTTCAGCCACAGCCCGAGACCCGGCTGCTCAGTGCTAAGACAGACACATATACACACTTAGCACTTGCAACTGAAGAGCTGCCAGTCCTCTAGAATATTCCATGACCTGCAAGCTACCTGCCGGAACCCTTGGGGAGGGGCAGGAGGGGTATGACGGTGTTGCTGAGGCACTCGCACAGCGGACACAAGAACTCCCCGTTTTCCACGTCGTAGCTGGTGTGCACACGTAGCCGCTGTTGCCGCCGCTGCTCCTTCGCCTGCACCGCCTCAAAGTACCTGCAGGGGGCGCCCAAGTGACATCTCCATGGTGAAAAAACTTCCTGCATGTTAATTCATTACAACTATCCACAATTGACCTCCAAATGACACAGCATCCATAAAGACATTTCCAGCCCAGTGTTTCTGCAGGTAACACACCCGCCATCCCAAAATCTTTACCACCATGGCATAAAACATCTAATCCAACACCTTGGTGACTTGCTTTGGGAAGCCCCATTCTAGCCCCCATCACCCCCCATTCATGCATTATGGAATTCAGTTTGTTAATGACACTAATAGGCTATATTACACTGTCATTTAGCAGATGCTCTTATAAAGCTCTAATAAAATAAGCCTGCTTAAATAAAAAAAAAAAAAACAAAAATGGTCTGATGCCTGCATTTCCCCCCCCCCACAACAGTACCAACCAAACACTGTACGCCCTTAGTTGTGTCGTGGTGGGTGCCTGACATTAATTCCTATCCAACCCATAAGATCAAGGGTTGTGACAGTGACAACATGCAGGGTCACTGCCAGCCATGTGCTTCTTATAAACACGAAGGCGGCACATCAGCCTATATACCAAGGAGTGACTGGGCAGTTAGCGCACTCTGCCTTGGCTCCATCCCCTCCACAACAGGGTGCCTGAGCACTTGGTAGCTGGCCTATGTTCCCCTTTCCGTGGCCCGCACTGACCCCCTCCCATGCTGCGCCCAGGCCTACCTTTGCCAGCAGTGGGAATGCATGATGTGTCCGCAGCTGCCAGTGTGCGTGCCGAAGGATAGGTCCGGGTGCATGAACAGCGGATCGTGACGCTCTGGAACACCAACAGGACACGCATTACCAACAGGTGGCACGATGCCTAAAGACAACCGTAAGAGATTGTCCTGCTGTATTAATGATGGTGCCTGGTGGGGCTGCTGGGGGAGAGGGCTTAAAGCCCAGTGCGCAGCCAGCGCTCTCCCACTCACCCGGGTTAGGTGGCGGCCTGTGGCGATTCCGGGACATGACGGTGGAGCGCTGCACGAAGGCGGCCAGCACCATGGCCCTGCCGTCCCCACGGATCTCCTGCTCCTCCTGGCACAAGATGCAGGTAACTACCTGCCGCTTCTCCGTCGGCCGCGTCCTCCGGGGGCCGACACACAGCAGAGCGGCATCCGGGGAGCTCGGACTAGCGGGACGAGGTGGATGCATCATTGAGTGCCCCCCCCCCCACTGGTGATTCACAGCCCTTTGGTCCTCCTACAGGATCGTACCTGTGCTCCAATGAGGCTGAAGTGGAGGCATCCAGCTCCTCCAGGCTCTGCTGGAAGAGCTCCTTATTCTCGTCGATAAAGTGCCGCTGCATGGCTGACATCTGCGCCATGATCTTCTCCCGACGCAGTCGCGCCATCTCCGCCTTGCGCTTGCGCTCCGCTTTGTCCTTGTCCCGCACCGTCTGTAGTAATGAGGGCACATCAGTTACAAGTGCAAACCCATCGGGGACTAGCCTAGTCAGCCCCCCCAGGACTAAGGACTTTTTCCACCGCACCAGGTTCCGTAGTTTTGGTGTTTTGCACTGCCGAAAAACTGGTACCAAATGACATCACAGCGCGAGGCAGGGTACTCTGTACTGCATTCGAAAAATGGCTGTAGTATATTATACGGCTTGGTGATTTGCGATGTTGGTATTACTATTGCATGTTATGCACATAATTCTTACGTCGCTAGTCAGCTATTTTTCTTACTTTCAATTCTGCATTTGAGAAATTTATGAGCTCCTTTTTTGTTTTATAAAAATACCCCAATATTTATTACAACAAAATCACACCGCTCGGACAGCACACTGTATGCACACGTCGCTAGGATAGCTTGCTATATGTATTAGTATATTCAACAAAATACTTTTTAATTTGTCATGTCATCCGGATCATTTTGTTGTATATATTATTATGACCAAAATCACTTTTTTTTTTTTTTTTTACTTTATCATTATTTTCTGAGTTTGCAACTGTTTTCAAGGTGGCATTTATACTGTTTCAGAGGCAGACTATTTGCATAACCAATTGACAAAGCGTTTCAAGTCTCACCCCAAAGTACCACCCCAGCTGGTTTGGCACTTTAGGTACTGGAACTCAACCAGAAGTCAATGGAAAAGTGAAAGTACAATACGAAAAAGGTACAAGATGAAAAGGTACAAGACGAAAAGTACAGTACTTGGTGCAGTGGAAAAGTGCCCTAACATAGGGGGGTCCTGTTCCAGGCAGACACTACCTAAGAAAGGCTGAGGACTTTTTTCAAACTTGCGATAGATAACACCACATACACAAACTACTAGGTTACACCAGCAGAATGAAAATACACATCTATACAGGAGGTTGCTGAAAGAAATTCCAATCAATTCAAAATTCATGGTTTTCCAAGAGTTATGCACACAAAACCATGTTAAGATTCTGGTGGCCCAGAGCATTAAAGATTGCCCTCTCCTACCTCCTGGTGGTTCTGGCCCCCGCTGTCTGTCACAGGGCTGGTACTGCTGCGCTCCCGCATCGTCTTAATGCTAGCAACAGTCTGTGGGGAGCCGAAGGAGAACTAACAATCCAAACACAGCAACTCCAAATTTATAACCATCCCACCCTATTTCATACTGCTGCCCATTAACTCAATATAGCAATAGCTGCCATTTCTGAAATCTAAGAAAACCACAAATCCTCTTTCAAAATCTACATACAGTGGTACCTCAGAACTCAAACTTAATCTGTTCAGAACTCAGGATCGAATCCTAAAAAGTTTGAGTTCTGATCGAATTTTCCCCATAAGAAATAATGGAAAACCAATTAATTGGTTCCCGGCCCCAAAAATTACACCTAAATGTTTTTTTTAGCATTCAAACAGAAAATGAACTGGATAAAACAAGAGCATATACTGAACACATCCAAGTACATTTATCAAAACAGTACTTTGCAAAGTAAGAAAATAAATGTATCCAAACAATGTGTAAAGTCCGCTCCTTCCGTGTGCCACGCCCCCTCGTTAACCCCATGTGGAATCCCCATGTGATCAGCTGTTTCTGGTTGTTGTCATTAGTCCTCTGTATTTCATCCGCGTTTCAGTTTGTTTCCCCAGTCCAGTCATTGTATTGTCCGTCTGCGTTTTGCCTGCCTTACCTGTAATTAAACCCCGTATTCCCCGATACCCTGACATCGGCGCCTTTGTCTCCATTCCATCCCTGTTTGGCATGACAATATTATTATAATTAAATGTACTAATGGTTTATTATTAATATAAAAATAATTAAGAAATCTTTATTTTTAAATGTATTTTATGATATAATTACTGTTACTGTCATTGTCTAAATGTATTTTTACTGTCTAGTGTAAACATGCACGATGCTATCACAGCGAATGCGAGGCTGAAACTGAAGCTTTACCCTTTGTTGCCGCGTGACTCATTTCCTTGGGCGAACAAGTTTTAGGTCGGCGTTCACGGTTTGACTTCTGAGATTGAGATCGAGTTCTAGGTCATTTTTTTCCGAAGTGGTTGGTTTGACTTTTAAGAAATTTGAGTTCTAATGAGTTAGAGAGCTGAGGTACCACTGTATATAAAACAATTCAGGACTTCAGTGCATGACCTGCAGAGAAAAAGGCTGCTCTCTACTACCTCATGGTATCTGCAGCTCATAATGCAGGGGGAGGGCAGTGAGATCCCACAACAGCATACAGCAGGGCTGGCCAGTCCAGAATAACCCGTTGTGCATGCGTGTTTTCACTGCAACTCCCTAATTACCAATTAGAGGACTGTGCAGGGTTTTGCTATGTTACTTTGTATTACTGGCTGTTCTATTACTTTGTAGCACAGAAACCCCAGCTCATGTGGCCTCCCGTAATAGTAATGGTGTTTAGAAAATCACCCTGCCCTCGCTCCCTATTGAGAGCAAATCGCAAAGTGCTATCCAGCTAACAAAGACTGAGCAATCAGGCTGCCACGAGGTAGTTCATCTCATCTTCTGGTTCCCACTTTTTATCTTGTGGCTCCTGCCTGACTGGTTTATTGTCTTAGCCTGAAAAGGCTGGTATCACACACAAGTCAGGAGAAGAAGGTTGAGAAGGTGCGTAACTACAGCACCAGCGGGCATCATCTGCAAATAAAGTCCTTCCTCCCAAAAAGACAGCGCCTCTGCTCTGGTTCATTGCTTAAGGCTGAAACAACTGAACGCAACAACTGATTTGCTGAAGAGTCCTCACACAAGGGTTTGAACAGCAGACCTAAAGGCGATCCCAAAAACCTGCACGCACACCGGCCCTTATAAGACCCAGCCATGATCTACAGGGCGTCTCCTTGACAGACACTGGACCTGCAGGCTGTAGCTCCAGCAGACAAGCCACCTGAAGAAACTGCACAGAATGACCCAGACTGTAATGACGCACCTTAAGGATCCAGCGGATCATGTCCTTGTGTACCTCCAGGTGGGCCGCGTTTTGCAACGTCTCCAGGAGAGCCAGGATGCTTGGGGTGTTACTGGGTGCCTCTCCGGGCCCTGGACACACACATGGACACACATATGGACACATGTCATTCCAGCTAACAGGACAAAGCAAACAGGAACAAAGCCCAGAGATCTCATAGATCCATTACACACCGCGATTGCAGAAAACCTGTTTGAGAGGTCAGCATGCACACAGGATGCCAAACACCACACGCTGAGTGTGAAGATTAACTATCGATCGGGAGTCTGTGCGTTCGTCTGGAAGACATCTTTATCTGCCCGTACGACACGGACAGAAGTGTAAATGCTCTGTGGGGCTGTTTGCGCACGGCTGTGTGACTCACGGGAGATCTTGAGGGTGAAGCTGAAGGTGATGTCGTCTTCGCTGCTGCTCTCCAGCTGCTGCTGTTCCTCCAACAAGGCCATGCCTATAAGATGGAGCACCTGGCCACACAGAGAACCACCTCAGATAAGCGTGAAGAGCACCCATCCCCCCCAAGTTTCACGAACGCGCACACTCGCTCACCCTCTGCAGCATCGACTCCGACCAGTGCCCCCCGCTGGGCTCCACCGCCCACTGCAGCACGACTCCCAGCATGCCGAGCAGCACGTCACACTGCAGCAGATTCACCAGGCTGGCGAAGAGCGGGCAGAAGGGGGGCAGAAGAGGCGGGGGCAGTGCTGGGGACACGGGAGGCCTGCATCAGCCACTGAGTCTCACACCGGCACGATCTCTCCATGTGGGTGTAAAACTCCCTAACCGTGATACCCAGACAGAAGATCGGTGCCATTTTCCCAGAATCTTATCTATGGTTGCTGGGTGTCGGCATGGACTAGACAGACCAAAAACTATAAAGAGGAGTGTATGGGGGATTTCAGGCAAGCATCAAATATAACCCAAAAGGCTTTAAGCACTTCATTTGATTCAACTCCATTAAGAGTTCAAACCAAAATGAATCAATTTCAAATCAATAGACCATAGATCAGCTACCATGCATGTACTCATGAACATTCAGGCATGAGCCACGCAGCGTAATCTGGCACACAAATATCACCGGTATGTTCATACAGACCCATTCTTAAGGTCAAGTGAAGCCAGTTGGTTTTTCTCAGGATGACGGACCTGGCCCAGAAAGCTCACCCAGTGACCTACACAGCAACGGCCCTCATTGACACACGGTTCCTTAGGCAGTACGAGCAGAAGCTGTTGGGAGAGGCGTCCAGTACCTGAGTCCTCGCCACTCTGCCTCCTCAGCTTCCGCTGGGCCTCTTCAGCCTGAGAGATGAGGGATCAGAATAAGGGTGCTGTCTTGGTAGCTGGAGCCCTGCTGATCTGTAAGGGACGGGGCAGCCTACCTTCGACTGGTCAGCACGCGAGTAGTGATAGAAGTAGAGGTTGAACTGCTTGGCACATTCTGGCCTCAGCTCATAAAGCCCCCGGCCTGTAACTCCCGGCTTTCTGTGATGATATGGGGGGGCAGGAGGTTATATATAGGCTGAAGAGAGAAAAGAGGAGTGGCTGAGTTACAAACGGAGGAAAACCATACTTGAACAAGGCCACAGAATCGATGACCCTCTCCATGCCGGTCTCCTTGTTCTCCTGTAGGAAAATCAAACTTGCATCAGTCAAATACCAACCAGCAGCGTCTTGTCACTACATCACCACTAGGGGGCAAACAAAGATAGGAAATGAGGCACACTCTGCTGCTGGCCGAACTGCTGTGCTTCACACACGTGTGCTTCAACATCAACGCGCCACGCGCCGCACATTTCGGTCAAGTGCTGTGGCCCTTCAGGCTCAAACAAGCATGGGAAAATCTTGCGCTCTGCGGATGGATGATTTTTAATTTCCAATATCATCAAGCGTGGAGGAGCAGGTCGGAATTGAGACCCTTCAGGTTGATTCCTGTGCGTATGGATGCTATGTTTACACATCCGAGATGCCTGTTCAGCGTCGACCTCTACTAATTAACTACAAAGAGAGTTCCACATACGGTCCACTGCAGCCACCCCACCCCCACGCTCACGTTCTCCGGCAGAGCCTTGGCTAGCTCGCTGTGCGCCATGGGCCGGATGCACAGCTGGTGGATGATCTCACGCTTGATCTCGTCGCTGGGCTGGACCTGGCCGATCCCCGGCGTGAACCGTTCTCCTGGAACGCACACATGCACGTGGGGTGAGCCCAGGCGGGAAGGCAATACTGGGAGGGTGGGGGGCACTCGTACTCACCCACAATCATCATGATGAGATGCAGCATCTCCTCGATCAGGGTGTTGTTCTGCTGAATCACGTCCTGAGGCACAGACAGCAGTCAGAGGAACATCTGAACTGGCCTCAAAATCTCCACCCACAACCTTCATTTGCTTTATCCCTGGGGAACCCATGGGGTCATATACGACCCTTCCTTTTATTTCTGCCTTACATTCAACCCACTCAAAGTTAAGAATTTTTTTTTTTGCTTTACAGCCCTTTGTACCATATATGACCCAGTAACAGTGACATTTAGTGATTACTGACTGAATTAACCAGATTTTTTTCCACAATAAATATGGCCCCCCAACACATTTTGAGGTTGTTGCTGTACATGCTGCAAAGATTCACCTGTCAAGCTGTGAATAGGTAAGTGGCAGAAATTTTGCATCATCAGTTACAATGTTTAGATGTTACAGAACATGTACTAGGTTTTGGATGTTTTGAAACTTTTCTGCCAACTGTGATCATGTTCCATGTGCTCAACATCAGCCTAAGACAAAAACAGGGAATACAGGTGGTGCAGCAGACCTTACAACCCACCACAGGTAAACTTTCTGAGTGTAGTACACCTTTTTGCAGGTCTGTTCACTTGACCGGTTTCTTGATGGGTTGGCATGTTTGAAGCATGTGTTTTATTGCCAGCACATGGTGAATGATGAAGAGGAAAACTCAAATGTATTTTGAAAATGAGAATGTTGCAAAGATTTGTTTTTTCCTTCTTTTATGTCCTAATTTCATAGGTGAAATTAACAAGTTGGAACAGCATGAACAGTCCAGCGGGTTGTATACGGCACATATCATAATATGGACTGGGAAAGGGTTATTTTTAACAAAAGACCTGTTTTTGATTTCACTGGGTCTGTATTATCATTTTAGCCAATGGACATATTTTTCCTATAATAAGGTGGTCTGGGTTCCCCAGGGTTATTGAAGTTACTGACTGGATACATGGTCATTAACTTGATCTGTTATTTTCATGAGGCTCACACCCTGCACACTTCTACCACAGTCCCCAGAGCACCCCCTGCTGGTCCACACACTGCAATGCAGCAGGAAGGAATTGGGCACCTTGTTGGCGTTCTCTCGGCTGTGCCGTTTGCGGCCGTCGGCGGAGCTGAAGATGTGATAGAGCTCGAAACGGCTGAGCACAATCATCAGGAAGTGGTTTGGATCCATCATAGAAGAACCAGCCTGGGAATGAAGGAGCACAGGAGCAGGGGTGAGCACCCAGGAAGAAGCTGGGGTCACCTGCACATGGAGGGGGCAGGGGGGAGCCGGGGAACGCACCTGGAGCATGACCAGGTCTTTGTCAAACATCTCCACTCTGCACTTCACATTGTGGTAGTAGTAAATCTGGAAGGGTGGTACACAAGAAAACATTACATTCCCATCAAGTTCTGCGTTACTCAGTTAAAAAGGAGTTTCTCACAAACCCGTCCAGGCGTGATTTAAACAGCAAGGATGAAAATGATTATGATTGTTTCGGAGAACGCATGCAGCGCTCATGCAAAGGCAGCAACTGTAAACTATTTTTTAAACGTATACAAGATAATCTTGGAAATCATTAACGTTGCAAAGCTTAAAAAAAACGTTTCAGCATGACTTTCAAACCCTGTGCGCTATCATGTCCTTCACGATGAAACAGCCTAATCTCAACCTAGCTGACCAGCAACATAAGAATTGCATGTGCGTAATATGTGATGTTGGTATTAATAATAGCATATTGTACAGCCCTATAATATACTACAGCTATTTTTCTAACTCAGTACAAAATACCCCACCTCATGTTGTGATGTCATTCGGTGCTGGCATCAGTTTTTATGTCAGTGGAAACCCAAGACCTTGAAGTACCAAAAGTATGGTACCTGACATGGTGGAAAAACACCCGCAGAAACGATGAATGCCGCCATATGAGGTCACCAGCACACTCACCTGATTGACCAGAGAGAAGCCATTCCTCCTCCACATCCCAGCATGCACCTGAGCACATAGCACCAAGCAGCGCAGGGGGTGCTCTATCAGCATGGGGGGGCTCAGCTCACTCTGGAGGAAAGGGGTTCGGGTTACGGGATTCACTAAAGTAACACATCCTTTAATGTAGCCGGCTGGCTCTTGACCCTTTCAATGTGAGGTAGGTGGGCGTTAAAGAGCTGATCTATTCTCAGAAGATTCAGGGCACGTTTTCAATGTGACCCTACCAAAACACGGAGGCCTTCCAAGACGTAAAAGCAGCACTCACCAGGGGGAGCCGTTCAGGGAATCTGTAGGCCACCTCCGTCTTACTGAGCAGAACATGCAGACCTGGGGGACAGTGACATTTTCCCAGCTGTCACATTAAGAATACAAATGTGTCTCTGCTTCAGGGCCGGTGGCTTTAATACACAAGCCTCCTCCAGGCAAAACAACTGCTGAACACACAGCTCGTACTGCCAGGAGCTGAGGGAAGCGTCTGCAGCCCACAGTGACCCCAATCTTCAAGCATGGACAGCTTCTCTAATCTCAAACGTCACTTAGTTCCAGGGCTATTTTGGCCAGTAGCTGTAGCCTACAATAAGATTTACCAGCCCTGCAGCCCTGTGATTCACTTCTAGCCCAGGCATGACCTGCCTTCTGCGAGAATGTCAGGGTTATTTCCATCCCTGCACATCTACATGAGCTTAAACACTGGGAACATTGTGTCCATTTTTTTTTTTTGTGGGGGGGCGGGGGTCTGTCATGTTTAAGGTCCACAAAAAACTGAAAGCTGCTGCCCAGACACGTCAAATCTGACCGGTTGTGCAACCTTTGAGCCAGAGATTTCTGAGGGTCAGACCCACTAAACTCCCTTAGATAACACACTGAAAGCCCACCATCACAGTAACAACCAGTCCGGGTAAGGGGAATGGCTGAGGAACAGCAGCATGTGGAATACTGGGTTGAGAGGCCTGCTGGCCAAGAGCAGAAGAGGGAAGGCGGCCGGACAGAAGCTCACCCGCAAGCAGGCGCGACACAGGCAGGTGGATGATTACTTTCTCCTGCGACACGCAGTAGCGGAAGGTGTCCACCGAGTGGCCGCACATGCTGAGCGTGATAGGCTGCTCGCCGTCTGCAAAGCCGCCGTGGCAGTGGGTCAGAGCCACCAGGCACATCCGGTAGGCCTCGATCAGCACCTTCTCCTGGACACGGGGAAAACAGAGGGGTCAGGGGATGGGGTAGGTAGCTTTTCGGAAGATGTGTGCAAGTGAGGAAGGGAGACTCACATCAGAGGCACACCACTCCTGCATCATGGAGATGATGTGCGTGAGCTTCATCTGCAGAGTAAAGGCTGCTTCCCACTCTGGCTCCATTTCAATGTGCTGGCCCACCTGGCGCACAACAGGGTCCATGCCCTGAGGACAGAGCAGTCAAGCAGGACATTAACCCTCTCACCCTGTCAGCCCCGCCCCCTCACCCAATCCGATAGCCCTGCCCCCTCACCGTCAGCCCCGTCCCCTCACCCAATCCGTCAGCCCCGCCCTCTCACCACACCCTCCCAACCAAACCCTCAGCCTCGCCCCATCCCACCCAAAACCTCTCAGCCCGACCCCTCAGCCCCACCCCCCCCTCACACTCTCTCCCACCTTAACCCTCAGCCACATCCTCCACTTGATCCACACCTCCTCATCCAAACCCCCACCTGCATGCACTTCAGCAGCTCCAAGAAGGTCTCAAACCCCTCCAGAAACTTCTCCCTGAGTTTGTCAGTCCACTCTGTGGGGCGGCTGATCAGTACATACCTGCAGAAGAACTTCTCACTTGTGACATAGTCATCTCCTTACAATCACTCTCACACACACACGCGTATACACACACAGATTCACTCATTCGCATAAAAATTCATGACAATGTTATAAACTTTGTATCTGCAAAATCTGATTTATTAATATATTTCAGGCCCTATGCCTTTATTATTTAAAAAGGTGACCAATAATTTTTGACCAGTAATCTTATATTTAGACTGAATCTCCCTCTCTAACCTGCCTGTATCTGTAACACAGTGAACTGCATAATGTCATTATTTTACATCGCATCACACCGCATTGAATTGCATTGTATTGGATCACGTCATGTTCGATCGCACTGCATCGTAACAGAGGTGAACATATTACTAGTTGCTTCATATGTATCTTTAATGTATTAGATCGTTGGCAATGCATGGAGATGCGCATCGCATCAGCCTCTGATGGAGATGCACATCCCTCACTCTCTCTGTCTCACACACACACACACAGACACACACACACACACAGACACACACTCACTTGAGGTCCCCGAGGAGGCTCTGCACGCGCCGGAACTTGAAGGCCTGCTGCGGTGTGTAGCGCTCGAACTGGAAGCGGCCCTGCAGATCTCTGTGTCGCAGATGCTCCACGAAGGTGCGGATGATGGTGGCCATCAGGTTCTCTTCCGTCATCAGCATGCGTGCCTGGTTGTTTTTGGAGGGGGGGGGTTAATGGGTCGTGGACCGAGCCTAATCGCCGGTCCTTGGGTTTTACCCCTGGGCATTGAGGCCGGAGCTTGTAAATCCAAACTGGCGAGCGATAACCCAGCCTCAAAGCACTGAGTAATGAGATCAGAGCTCTCAAACCGGCACCGTTTGGATCCGGGCAAACGGGTCGGAGTGATGCAACACTAAGAAACGCTTCCTGGTGTCTAGACAGCCTCTCTGGTTTGATGTTGAACACAAACCCACACGCTTTTAAAGTGTGCGTATAAATAGATAACAGGAGTGCAAGAGCGCAGTTCTAGAAGATTCTAATGATACCGCCCCGTGAGGCACCTACTCACCAAGGAAGGCACCGTGAACATTTGCACGGAGAGGTCCGTGACTGAGAACTCCCTGTCGTGGTCGTCCTTCACATAGTCGCTCTGCAAGCGCTCATAATTCTGAATGGGCAGGGGGGAGGGTGGGGGGTACAAGAAGGCAGAATTGTGTGTGGGGAGGGGGGGGGGGTTTGGTACTCACCATGGTGGGCACAGTGAAGAGCTGGACAGACAGAGATGTCACTGATACTACACGCTCATGATCGTCCTCCATAAAATCTGTCTGAAGGCGCCAGTAATTCTAAACGGGGGGGAGGGGGAAGAGATTCACTTCCAGGGCAAAAGGCGGGCAGACGTCCCAGTGACCATTCCAATGACCTCTGCCCTTTGTCCTCCCCCCCCAGCAATAAGGCCAGCAGGCCATATGATCAGACAGGTCTGTCAGGCTGCGGAGCCTGGACCGGGGAGGGGGCGGACTAGCCCACTTAAGGGCCCAGCCCCAGACTCCCTTCAGCTTCACAAGGACCGGCTTCCAAGCTCAGATTTTAGGAGGGCGGCTGGGGCGCTATTCCTGAAGTCATGGCGTCATCTCACAATCAATCACTGGCTGTGTACGTGTTTAACTTTTAGCTAGGTTAAGTTGGGGGATATGAGATGACTGGAATACATTAGGAATAGGAGCCCTCGTCTTACCTACTGCACTGCTGAAAACTACAATCAAAATTTCTACACAGAGACAACCCGTAAGCAGCCGGCACTGAAAACCAGCATTAGAGATCAAATTTTACATGGCTTACAATGGAATTCACTGGTTCTGGTTACATTACTTTTGACACCAGAAACTCTTAATTTTCTAAAGAGCATGAACAGGCTTCAGAGAGCCGCTATCCTCAGAGACCAAAGGCCTTTATGTTAATGAGGGCAGGGTGTAGCATTCAGTTTGGACTGTTTTCAGCTGCTGCAGCGGTTTCACACATACATGCACACACACACGGAGGTTTCTCACTTTGGCAAACTGAATGGCGAACAGCTTCTTATATTTCGGGTCCATGAGAAGGCTGCTCATTAAGAGCTGGTGGTAGACGTTCCTCGCACCTGGAGAAGAGCCACCGGCATGAACAGGGGAGAACGCCAGAATCGGGGACCCACTGGAGACCACTGTGGCCCCACTGAAGGCAAGCCCGCATGGGCTGCACCTCCACGTTAGCATCCTGAGGACCAACCTTTCCACATCTTGGAGTCACAAAGCATAAGGGTGTCTACCAGGGAGTTCTCCCCTAACGGGCCCTTCTCCAAGCCCACCTGGCACAGGATCCTCCGCAGGGCGTCTGGCATGGGGGGCGGGGGGAGGAGAGAGCAGCTTTAATGACGCACAAGCAGAGAGATGAAGGAGAAGCATTGGGAGCGGGCGGGGAGGAGACTAACCAGAGTGTCCGATTACCTGGCCCAGCCAGGCCAGGGCTTTGAGGGCGAAGCACTGGTGAGCCACCACTGAGGAGTGCATGACCTGCACACGTAGGGGCTTGGTCTGCCGGCTTGTGTTCCTCTGTGGGGGTCAGATGAACACGTGGTCAGAGACACCAGGGCCCGCAGCCCCACAGCGATCAGAAAGCTTTGGGGAGCTCTGAAAGCCGTGGCCGGTTAGGTAACCACACGCCTCTGGCTGCAGATTAAACCAGGCTGGCAGACTCCACCCACCGTGGCCCTTTAAGTACCACTGCTCAGCACAATTAAAGCACAAACTCTTCATTGTCCACCAGAGGAATGCAGGCATGACATTAGGGCCTGTGGCTGATGTGGGAAACCTTGGTGACTTTAGGGTCTCTCAGAACCCTAAATTTGGCAGAAGCTCATTTAAACCACCAATCAAAATTACATGCAGGACCACAATGGGAGTGCCCATACAATGGCTGTACAAAGCCATAAGCTCAAAATCAGGGTAAACGGGAAGCAGATTGCAGATGGGTGCTACACAATAGCTGGGAAAGTGTTTCACATGCAGTGCGCTTACAGAACAGTGCAGAATACAGTCCCCCCGCCCCCCCCACATAACAGCAGACTCACCACAATGACAGTCTTGGCCTGCTCGCAAAAATGGAAGTCGCCATAGCGCACCGACTTCCGCCCCTGAGAAGCAGAAGAAACACACACATTAGGAGGCAGACAGATGGGGCGTAAACCTCACGCTGAGCCAAATTACACCGGGGGGGACGTTCACTCACGTCTCTGTCCACCGTGGTGGCGAAGCTCACCGCCTCCTTCTGGGTACAGTTGACAGCCTTTTGCAACGTGTAGATGACCTGCTCATAGGTGTGCACCTCATCGTTGAACAGCATGCAGTAATACGTGTCCCCCCGCTCCCTAGAGGGGACGGCCGGGAAGTGAGTCGAAGTCTGTCCACCCCATCATTCAAACCCCCACCACTGTCAGCCATCCAATGACAGTGTTTATAAAGAAACACCATGAGGTCTCAGCCGGCTGCCTTTTTGGGGGAGGGTACTTACGGAGGTTCCAGGCCAGCTGGAAGCTCGTTTTCCTCTTCCCAAGTGAGCATGTCCACAGCGTACCTCAGCACAATGGAGAACACGCTGTAGGTGCGAGTGATCATGTTGGCGGAGAGTTGATCCAACGGGTCCTGTGGGCCATCAGATGGGGTGACACTCGTGAGACACGCAAAAGGTCAGCACCTACCAGGCCAACATCGGCAAACTAAACACGATGTGGCGTCGTTTCCGCATTCAGGCCAGGTGAGCGTGAAGGCGGCCCAGGCCCGTGAAGGAGGCCCAGTGCCCGTGAAGGCGGCCCAGGGCCCGTGAAGGCGGCCCAGGGCCCGTGAAGGCGGCCCAGGGCCCGTGAAGGCGGCCCAGTGCACACGACACTCAGGCCTCACAGAGAGGCCTCACAGAGAACACTGCATTCTGATTTTCCAGTGCAAAGAGCTGATTTATAGGATGTGCATGTATCACAGCACTGATGTCTGACTGCTAATTTTCCAAGCAGCACATTAACAGGAGTCTCATAGTGCTAATGCAAGCAGCACACGGTGTCATTTTTAAAGAGTAAAAGCGCTAATTATAAAAACAAACAGCCAGACATTTCACAGGAGCAAATTCTACATGAAATGCAACACCTGACTGGGAAAGCCATGAAAATAACTGACCCTCCCCTACTACTGACTGCCCCCAATTAAAAAAAAAAGCCATTCACACTCCATTAGTAATGCATCACTAATGTTTACAGGAAATGGCCGTTTATGTATTTTAGTTAAGAGTAAAACCTGAATATATAAAACCAGCCAAGATGAGACCATAATACCAGAATGGGCGGGGGGAGGTGCAGGAATGCACCGGTCATGTGTTTTTCTGAAGTGAGGGGCATCTACTTACACCTATCTGCTCTTGCAAGCAAGATGCCAACCGAGTGAAGGACTGAAATGTCCTCCCTTTACGTGGCAGACTGACCCGGCACTGAACACCCTGCCCGCGGTTTAACGCCTCACCTCCTGTGAGGAGTCACTGATGCTGGGCTCATGTTTCTGGCAGTAAGGACCCTTTTTCCAGGCTTCCGTGTCCCCACAGTCACAGAAGCCTCCGCCCCCGGAGGTCGTCATCTGCAACGGAGGCATGCGAGTCAAAGGCAGAGCACATTCTCACACACACGCGCTCCAGCACACGTACCCAGAGCCTTTAATGAAACATCTTAGCTGTTCTCACACACAGACACACACACAGCCCATACTGTGACACAAAATGCTGTCACCTGTAGCAGCGGAGGCCAGCACAGATAACACACACACACACACACACACACACACTTATACTCTTTCATAATAAACTTAGAATTTGGTGATCAGTGATCACTGTTGATACACCACAGCACATTGTGCACAACAACGAAATGTGTCCTCTGCATTTAACCCATATGTGAGATCGTGACATAGCAGGGGGCAGTTAATTCAGCACCCAGGAAGTAGTGCTTGGGGGTTGTACCTTGCTCAGGGTACCTCAGTGGTCGGGGATTTTAACCAGCAATATTTCAATTACAAGTGCACATCCCTAACCATTAGGCCACCACTGCCCACTTGCTAAAATGTTTAAAATACCAATGAATATAATATGAAATTAGCAGTGGGTGACAGCAAACACCTTATCTTGTAATTAATCAACGTAATTAAAATGACTTCCAGGGTACACTTGAAATTCCACCAATCAGATTGCATATTATCCCAGGTGAGAACAGGGATGATGCCATTACAGGGTGCAAATTACCTATGAGAAAGGTCTGGTTTCAGTTGGACACGGCCTTTGACACTGAAAAATTGACAGCTGGGCTAATATGTGAGTGGTGCCACAGCCAATAGGCTCTTGTGGGCGTGGTCTCACAAAAGCCACATGCCAGAAACTAAGAGTGACACTGGTGCAAGCACTGGCTTCATGGTGGAGAGAATGGGCTACCGATCCTCACGCGTGTGTGTGGGTTCATGTTCCTACCCTGTAGCGGTGTCCTTTATGCACGCTGCCCAGGAAACATTGCATACAAAGGACGCAGGTAGGGTCGGCGGCACACTCCCTGTGGGCATGGAGGAGAAGGCACACGGTGAGAAGGCATGCAAACAGGCAGACACACACACGCACACATGTACGCGGCTCACTGTAACCCTTGAACTTAGCTGGGACCGCTTGGCCAAGTGGGGAGATTTCCATAATCCACGGTAAATGCTCAGGCCATGTAAACTGCACCGTAATGCCACTCATCCTGTCTGCCTGACAGAGACCCAAAGCCTTCGCAGACTTCCTCTTCTTCAGGAAGCCCGAAAGCTGCCCTGCTGAGAGTCACGACAACAGACGGTTGAGCGGGAAAATCCCTCACCTGCAGGAGTAGGTGGGCTCGCCCACCTTGAAGACATGGCCGCACAGTTGCGAGGGTTGGTTGCTCTGCTCCAACTTGGCCAGGCCTATGGAGGGGTCCTCCCCGCACAGGTACCACTCCAGCGGTCCCTGCAGAAGGAGCTGGGCCAGAAGATCCTCATTCTGGGGGTTCAGGTTGGGCCCCAGGCAGTAGATCTTGGGTACATAGCGGGCCAGGTGCTGGTAGACTGCTTTGGGAAGGTCGGAGGCTTGGAGCCATTTCTGTGCAAATAGAAGTAGGCGCTTCATTATTGTGATGACTGTGCTGCCATCTAAACACAAAACCATAGTCCACCATAAGCCAAAAGGATGCCAGCCAAAACACAGCTCTCTTAGATCCCCGCCAACCCCCAACCCATAACAGTGAACACAGAACAAGGCGACAGAAAGAAAAAGTAACTGACACTGCAAATGGAAGAGGGTGATGTATGAGTTGATAGAGAGATGGCTGGGTTAAGATTAGATTAAGATTAGACAATCTTACACTGCAGGAGGCTAAGATGAAACACTGAAGTGTAGTTTCTCTTTAGCTCATAATCTGAATTGTATCCGTCTATAGTAACCTGTCCCAGAAATAGTACAGTTTCGTACTAATAAAGAAAAGGTCATCTGACTAATGGTGTGTCCAACCAAACTAAGCAGCAGTATGTAAACGGCCTGAGTCAGTGAACACAAGCTTTGGGGCCAAGCTCTCAGATTAAGAAGAGGTAAACATGCCAAGTGAGTTGCTCTGTGTGTGTGTGTATGTGTGTGTGTCTCTGCCAGCAGCTTCACACATCGAGTCTGTTCTCCTAACCCTTCACTTTCCTCACAAGACAAACAGCACCCCCCATTTCAAACCAAAAAAACAAACAAACAAAAAAAAAACTAAGATAATACATTGGGCTCCTGCACCCTGTGTTACTGACGACGAGTTTTCTTTTTCAAGAAACCCTGCTAATACTACACAAAGTATTCAGTATGAAATTAAAAGGGGCTGTGAAAATGAAGACCAAGTAAATAAGTCAACAATCTGTGGATAAGACAGCCACATTTATTACTCCGGAGCTTTTTGTTGCTAGAAAGTCCCAGACATGGCACCAGGAAAAATATGGAGTTCCCAGCCGGTAATCATGCGGATTCACTATCCATATAATCTACTTCATCAAAAGGTGAACATTCGAAAGCATCTGAAGAGCTCTCAATAAGATGGCCTTGTTTTACTTATCTCGTCTGAAAACATACCAACCTACTCAGAAATTCCCTGCCATGTTCAGACAAGCACCATCTCCCTGACAAAAACTCAAATACCCTGTGCAAAAACATAGCATGAGACGACATTTCTGGAGTTGCATGCTTCTGCTTGTGTGTTGTTTTGATCAGGCCCCCACTTGGGACATGCTACCACACACCCCACCAAGACCCTGCAGGTGTAACTATATGATAAACAGGAGGGCATCAAACAGCTGTTGTTCTCAGCTATTGCACAACCAGTAAACAGATTTCTACACAATATACTGCACCTGTTTTAGAACAGAGAAAACCCTGAACCATCAGGAAAAAAACAAGTTACTTACTTTTCCTCTATCCTCTTTCACTAACTACCTGATACCCAACATTTTCCACCCTGTGAGATTTCACACACAGATCCAAAGGAGGAATCTGTTCTCCCTTATAATTAAACCACGCACAAGGCAGCTTCTCAGCTGTGCTTAAAACAACATCCAGACAAGACATTAAATATATGCAAACTGCATTTTTGCTGACCTACAAAATCAACACACACGATGCAGAAATGGCCATTGTATAGCACAATAATCACTCCTGCTCATTTAAAAGCACAAAGAGGAAGAGATGCAGTATTCCAAGCTTATAAGAATCAGTTAAGCCACAGACAGAACACAGAAATTCCTGTTAACTGAATAGATGACACAAAATCGCTCATCAATGGCACAAATAAGAGCTTTTCAGTTAAACGTCAAAGATCTGCTAACCTGGATTTAATTTAGCACTTTTATGGCAGTTTCCTAAATAAATATTCATACTGGCAAGCTGACACCCAGAAAGGTGTTTTCTCTGTACAACAAAATTACTGTAGATTTTGTAATCTATGTCTTAAGCGTCCACAACATATTTTATAGCTACATTAAAAGTAAATATATTAATAATTCACCAATACTTGACAGTAGATAAAACATTTTGTACGTACTGAGAGTGAGCTATTACCAAGCTGCACTATAGACGTGCACCTATGTGTCCAGCTATGTGTGTGTGTGTGTGTGTACATATACCAAAAATTGTATTTGCTGACAGCAGTTAAACGCTTCCAGATCAGTGGACTCATTAATGCACCGCGAGGGTATTAATCTAGTTTCGCCTTATTCTAGTTAAAATGGGAGGATATAAATGTTAGCAAGCAAATTATTTGACAATTGGATATTTTGATCAAATGGCTAGTGTGTGGCATAAACACGATTTCAGTTAACCTGTAATGAGAAAGCACACTTAATAGAGGAATACGTTTACAATTACACCCAACATTCAGTATCCACAACTCCAACTAGTTCACAGGCGCATCCTATTAGTTAGTTAGCAACGAGAATAAGCCGCAAGACTGTTTACTTGGCGATAACAACAGCTGTCTTTGCGAGCTAAACATACAGCTGTAGCCAAACAAACTGTAACAGTACGTGGAAAATATTTTACGACAATACTAATCGTTTTCGGAATGCCAAAGCTACCGAGAGCACTGTCAGTAAAGGCGGGGGGAATAAATGTCATTTTCAGGACGTGTTGTACAAAGCAGCGTTTCGCTGAGCCAGCTGAGTTAGCAGGCTAACGGCGTAGCAAACTAGCAGCTAGGGCCGCAAACGGCAAAACAAGCCGAGCTCGGAGGGGAAAATTTAGCAACTTTCATCGCTCCGCGGACAGAGAGCGACTCCCTCGCTTAGCTCCGCCACCAAGCACGACCGCTGTCGCCTACCAGGCCCGTGTCCTTAGCGGAGAAGTCCAGAAATTCACTGCAAAGGGCGGACGGTGGTTCACGGTCTGACTCGGCCGCAGCCATCTTGAGCAGCTCACTCTGGCCCTCCCTCGCGACCAGGTGCAGGAAGCGGAAATCAGACGCCGTGTGCCACGCGCCGCCGTCACACGCGACTCCTGTTTAGCTGATCTATGGCAAACGGGGAGCTGATGCGGCTTTTCACGGATGTACGGGTATGGGTATGGGAGCATTCACAGCATCTTTAATTATATCATTATGAACTTCAAATAGTGCAAGAGTTATAATTAAAATGCAAAAGGGACAATAAAAAGGATTCAAAGTTTCCACTCTAGAGTGCACATGGACAATAAGTGTTTCTAACTCATGTGATCTATTTGTCCATTTATGCCAGTGTTGATTATATAAAGACATCGATATAAGGGAAACATGTGTTGTTTCAAGGAGGAAGCAAAGAGACATCAATTAATTAAAACAAGAGAATTTGTACCGTTTCTGTGATTGAAATTATACCCTTCGCCATTCACGTATAACCAAGATAGCCACCGTGTTCCTGAAATACGAGCTACGCTTTGTAATGAAATCCACGCAGAATTGATGTTTTGTTTCTTAAAAAACGTTTTATTATAGTATTTAAATTTCTTTAACTTCCTAACACTCTATTTTGTCATTGGATCTGTTTCATTGTAGATATTTAACCTGTTTCTCCATCTCCTTATGCTTAGAAAATATGATTGTTCATGGTAAACGATAGACAACATTTAATGTGAAACTTGAGCCGTTGAAAGAATTTTTTGGGTACCTTTGGAAGTATGGCTACTGTAATACGAAGTCCCGTAAGGTGAATTTTATTATCTTGTGCGCACAAGATAATTAACTTGTGCGATTTTTTTTAAGCACCATATGGGACTTTAGGGACTCCATACTATAACATAATAAGGCCTCTAAATTATAATTATAATAAATACACATTATATTTAATTTTTGACCATAACAAGATTGATACATCAATAAAGTTGTTTTACTGGTCCCTCTAGCAGGGTATCAGGAGCTGGAAGGCTAATGGGCCTGATGTGCCCCAGGAAATAGACCACATGACTATTCTCAGTGTCACATGGTACACTCCAGGTCAGTACCAGGTGGGAACCCAATGCACCCTGGGAGCTCTCAGAGTCTCTGATGTCTTGGTGCACAGTCTGTGTTGCCTGCTGGTTTGCTGGGTACCTGAAGTAAGAGATGTCAGAACTCAGAAGCAATGTCACGGCTTATTGGCTATTGGTACCATACGGGCTAATTAACCAGCCAACCAGTGTAGGGCACTATATTCCACACACTGCTTGTCAGCCATTTTAACATTAGCCTGGTGCCTCATAAATGAACAAACACTTCATATAAAGTAGAATTGGCTACACGAGCCTGATTATTGTTACCTTTTGGCAGCCTTAGTAAGACACTCATGTCTTGCTTATAGTGCAAATAGAAAACTCAAAACTTCTAGGGACTGGAAATGGAGCTACCTCAGAATAACACACTGTGAAGGTTATCAGAGCAGAAGGTACAGTGGCACTTTACCGGTTTATTGAGGCGTGGTGAGGGGGGGCTTCCTTCACCGGCATCCTCTGTGGTCTCATTCTTTACACCTGCGGAGAACGTTAACAAAGTGTCGACTCCGTCCGGGTGAATCACTCCCAAATCACTATGTGAAGCAGCTCTTTGCGGTTTCAGTGGTTGTTAAAAACAGAGAGGGTGTGAGTCATTGTTTTAATATTCTCTCTGTGGCTCTGAGCTAGACTGACTGCCTTCTCTGTATAGTACACTGTGCAAACCCTGTCTTATCTACACACAATGTATTTTCTGTGCGGTATTATACCAGAGTGAATACACTTGGATTAATAGTTCTCTGGTTCTGGTCCTGATCAGCTATTTGTGCTGTGTTTCCCTAGAAATTTTAAATCATCTGTGGGTTTCTTTGCAGTTCTGTGAGTGGGTGATACTGACATAGCCTGGAGCTGGACTGTATCAGGTTCTGTAATAGAACTTGCAGCTCCTTCATGTCCTTCTTCAGTGCGCTTAGGTCCTGGCTCAGCTGGTTCTGGCCCATCTCCAGATGCTGGAGAGTACTCAGCCACTGCCCCTCGTTTAGCAGCACCGAACTTTCCAACCAAGAAAAGTTAGAGGGAAATACTCTGTTTACTGGGTATTTACAGGGACATGGCTAGAAATACTGGTCTTCCTGCTATGGTTGCTATTTTTAATCTAAATAAATAGCAGGTATATATGTTATAGAACCTTCCAAGTGGGGGGTCCCCGACAGCAGGATGGTACAAATTGCCAAGTGGAGGTATAATATTCCTCAAGGGTATAAATGATACTTTTTCATATTCAGGGGCCCCTGTAAAGTGTTGGGCCCTCTGAATCTGTCAGGGGATCTGTGGCCCTGCTGTGGCCCCGGCTAGTACATAAGTATCCGTACAATAACAGGCTCGATGCTTTGGGCCGCTACCCACCTGGGTCTTCCCTTCCTGTCACCCCCTTCCTTCGGGTCCAGCGGGGACATGTGCCTGTTAATCTTCAGGAGCTCATCCAGAGTCTCCTGTCACAATAAAGGGCCAAGAAACAGCCATCAGAGAGATTTCCAACAAGGGACTGCGAGCGTGGAACCAGCAGGACCTCCCACCTCCCTGCGCTACCTTGACCCCCACGGCTATCTTCCTCGTCTCTTCATGCCGTTCAGGATCAGTGACAAAGTGCTCGGCGCAGAACTCGCCGAGGGGCGCGCAGCGGCGCTGGACGTAGCGGTCGTCGCAGAGGGCTCTCAGACTGGGCATGGACTGCTCCACCTGCAGGATGACGGCAGCCTGCTGCATAACGCCGTTGGCCTGAGCATTCTCATACACCCTGGGAGGGGGGACACTCGTGAAGCACGCCACCTGGAAGGAAGCAGCACACCCACGCCTCACGACGCCATACCTTTGGAAGGTGTCGGACAGGAGTGCAATGAGCAGGTTGACGCAGAGTATAGCCGACAGACCAAGGAAGGTTCCGCAGAGCAGGTAGGCCATCATCGCGTCCATGGCAACCATGGCGTCAAACTCATACTCGTCCACCAGTGTGATGCGGTACAGACTGTATAGCAGCTGGGGGACTGTCTGCATGCTGGGCACAGCCTCCATGCCTGAACATGGCGTGAGAATGAAGTGGAGCGTGACAGAACCATCGGCTTAACGATACCAGGAAAAACTGGATCCACTCACTGACATGGTGAGTGCAAGCTTCCTGAGTGGATTATACCTTGGGCAGTCCGACTGGGCTTGTGGAACGTCGGAACCTATTTGGATGCCCCCTTACCTCCGAATATGATCCAGAAGGCACAGGCATAGGGAATGAAGATTTCCACGTACAAGAAGAGGAACCGGAGGACGTCACCGACGATGTTGCCAAGCATCACGATGAATGGGCCCATTTCCCTGACGACACAGCACAGTGCAGGATGTCAGTACATCCCACAACTACGTGCACTTTCACGTCCCTCTAGTGCAAAACCACAATGATGTGTATTAGACAAACATGTCACTTTTAAGAAAACAGCGTCTTTAATGCCTTACAGCAATTAATAAGTGAAGATGTAATTAAGAGAGTAAAGGCGATGAATTTAATTAGACTGCCGAGGATTCCTCTGATGAAGGATCGAGTGTCCCAGTGGTGAAATAGCCTGTGGAGTCAAAAACACACAGTTTCCCATGGTGATCTGAAGGCTCTGGCCATCTGGTGAGTGGATACCTGATGATTCTATCCCACTGTCGTCACGGTTACCTTAAGGCTCTGGCAGGGAGTCACTTTTGCGGCATTGCCATGGTTACCTAAAAGCCCGGACATGTTTCATCAGCCGTAGCCAGAGGAAGATGATGGTCACGGCGAAGAGGCGGAGGCTGTACTCTCGCAGCGCGCTCTCGACAATGAGGATGTCGGCCACATGGATTCCGAAGACCGCCGTTAGCAGCACGTACACCAGCCAATCAAATACATTCCTGTTAAAAGAAATACACCAGTTGACAGGTGTGACTAACATACCTCAGTTATAAGCTAAACCTCAAAATGGATCCATTTGTGTCACAAATGAACCTACTTGAAGCGTTTTAAGGTTCTGTCACTCTTGTGGAAATATTTTAAAGATGCATATTATGAACTTCTTGACACGGACAATTTACCGTGGAAACAGATGGCAAGATAAAAGCCAACCTGACAGCAGATGAAAGGCGTACATGAGCACCTAGGAGCGCGCTGGGTCATTTACCAGAGATCTCGGTAGTAGTCTGGCTTCATTTTCCTGACAAATTCAATTTGCTTCTCCAGGAAGTGCTGCTCCTTTTCAAACAGGAAAATGAAAGCTCTTCAGTCTCTACTAATTACACCTCAGACCCCTGAATTTTTTTCCTGGTATATCTGAAGCGAAATAGAGGCTCAATAAGGTTTATTTAAGCAAGAAATCAGCTGAGAAGGTAATTGTGACCAGCGGAGAGTGCTCTTTACAGTAATGGACTGTAAAATGGGTTTGTAGGGAAAAAAGCCAATATGCAGCTGCTGTGACGGGTCAAGCTCTCTCTTTCTCTTCAGATCCTTTGGAGCCGCACCGTCATATGACGCGACACGCACATGTCGGTGCTGACCTGGGGCCACATGGGATGCACACGGCGCAGGTCGTCATGGATGCGCCGTTGGAGCCAGCCGCGCCACCTCCGCAGCTTCCTGTGGGAGCGAGTCAGCTCGGCCACCTCCCGGGAGACCTCCGCGACAGTGAGCCCCAGGGCGAGAATCACCACCAGGACCCTCCACCAGTCCTCCATGGAGTAAAGGGAGGTGGAGTGGGAGAGAGATGGGGGGGGAATGAGAGGACGTGTCATTGGTGGTGACAGTTTGGTCACTTGCCTTCCCTTTCTGTCCTCATCGATTAGCCCTTTGTTCATTCTCTCTCATGATCGTCCTTTCTTAGATTTTCACTACGAGATCACGCCATGGTCCCTTATCTTTCTTGTCAATTCCCCCCCCCCCCCACTCTCCTTCAGGGGTCCCATCTTTTCTTCCTTCCTCACCTCAGGGAAAACATAAGGATGCTCCTCATCTCGGACCACGGACACTGAAATGGCAACCGTTGTCCAGGAAACGATGAAGAGGAAATTTAAAATCAACAGTATCCAGGCACCAGTTCTGTAAAATATAAAGGATAAATGGAGTGTTGTATCAGTGAAGACCTCCCAGATGCCCTCAGGCCAGCCAGCCCCGATGCCCTGAGATGGGAGTCAGATAAGAGAACCGCAGAAGGAAGGCCAACTGAACGATTTATCTGTGAGCCTCTCTTCCGTGTTACTCACGGCAGATGAAGGGGCTTCAGACGGCACACCAGATAAAGCTGCAGCTTAGTCTTCAGAGGAACAGGGTACTTACTCTTTATTACTTTACCAAAATATCCTGCTCCACACTTGCCCTTGGATATGTCTGACCCCGATGCATGAACCCCCGCCAAATTTGTTGCCCCACCCCTGCTAGACTTTGACTCATCCATGAACATCTCTAGCAAGTCCCTGCTTCAGATTCTTCCATCTCGACCCGAGACATAACCCCCCTCCCCCGAGTAAGACATACCTGCCGTACAGGTTCCACTTCACTGTGATCAACTTCAGCACCACCGGATGCATGATCAGGTCCAGCTTCCCATTCTGCACGATTAACTCCAACTGTCGAAGTGAGATCTGGGATAGAGCACCAGGAACATGTGACCCTCAGCCCCCCACCCCCCAACACCCAACTCCCTTATTGGCCTACCGGTGGCATCGGTTCATTCACAATCCTCCCTGAAAAACAACCCGACAAACATGGTGCATCACCAGAAGCGAAAAGCTAAACAGACCAGGCTCTGCTATGGACCTGCTCAGCAGAGCGAGTGAATCCACTTACCGTCTGAGTCACACGAGCTCCCTTTCCGGGCCGGTTCTGGTTCCAGCAGGTGCAGGTAATAAAACTGCTGTCGAGTTGTCCGGTCTGTCAAGTGGAACTGGTTGAGTGCCAAGTGGGCCTTGAATGACATGGTAATATAATGAAGGACAGCAGGACTGCTGGAAGAGTGGGAGTCTGGAAACAGGCAATAAACGAGCTATAAACTCTCTGAAAACTGTGATGAGCTGCAGAGTGACGCGAAAGTCCCAGTTTCCATGTTCACTGAAAGGCGGCAAGGAAGACTCCGACCCCTGCTTACCACGGGAGCCATCTGCTCAATCATAGCGGAGATGCAGAGCTGTCCGTCAGAGTCCTGCACACCGGCGTCCGCCCCAAGCTCTAGTAGGACGTGCGCGGCTTCGCTGCGGCCTGCGGATAGGAGGAGGACGCAGAGACATCAAGAGTGCGTGCGTAAAACGAGGCATGCAGTCACGCTACACGCAACACGCTCTGAAGGTACCGCGGTTAGCCGCCAGCTGCAGCGGCGTTCTCTGCTTGTAGTCGCGGGCGGCAACGTCGGCCCCGTGCTGCACCAGAAGCCCGATGGCAGTGGTGGCATCGTTCTTAGCGGCGAAGTGTAGCGCCGTCTGCAGATCTGTGGAGGTCCGAGCCCCAAGGTCAGCTTCACGGGACAGAGGCCGTGGGAGGGCCAAGGGGGAATGGGTGAGCAAAGCAGAAACAGATTAACAAGGATATGTCTCATACGCGCACACACATACACACATTAAGTATCCATATCTTTGTGGGGACTTGCCATTAATTTCTAAGGGGATAGCCCTAATCCCAATATGACATCTTTAACCCCTACCCAGCCATAACCTTAAGCATAAGTAACCAAAGTATAAGATTTTTTACATTTTTAGTTTTTTGATTGCATACACAGAAGTTGCAGGTTTTTACTCGCATCATGAGAACCTGTGGGGTCCCCATGGTGTAATATATACATGATTACATACACACACAGCCCATCGTTGTGGCGACCAACTCAACTGCTAGGTCGGACATCAAAAATGAGACCACAAACGATTAGAAAAGGTCAAGTACCAAATAATTGCCGAACATTACCAAACAATTTATTTTTATTCATCATAGCTCTAATAAAGTAGGTGTTTTGTGCACTTTGTGTGCATTGTGTTCCTGTCCTACTGCGGACCTCGCATCCCCAGCAGGAAGCAGATCATTTCCTTATAGTCCAGGGCTGCGGCCACGTGGAGAGGAGTCACTCCGTAGGCGTCCGCCTGCTGGATATCAGCTCCCTTCTCCAGGAAGAAGCGCATCACATCCACGTTCCAGGCCCGCGAGATCTGTCCCAGATGTGTTTTGCTCAGTATCAACTAGGCTGTCTCACACACACACACACACACACACACATATACACACACACAGCCAACAGCACTGTTTAATCATTAAATTTAAAAGAGTAACAAGACATGGCTGACAGGCAAACAACCTGAGAGCAGTGACCCCATTCAGTTCTACATCCCACCTCATGCAAGCACGTCTGTCCATATTTGTCGGTAGATTTTGGATCCGCTCCCTCTGCAATTACATCACTCAGGTACTGAAGATCCACCTGTAAAGACAGAGTGAGCACAGAGCTCTGTGACATCACAGGCGCTGTCGTCTAAAAGCTGTCTTTCGTCACCAAGGGGATGCTTAAGTGGCCCCTCTCAGACCCTGGGCCCTTCATCTCACCTCATCGCTTTCCTGGTTACTGGCCCCAATCGCTCTGAAGTAGTCCAGCAGTTTTCTGTTCGGATTTTTGCCCAAGCCGTCTGTAACGTCGCTGTCATCCTGAGCTAGGCCCTGGTACTTGCTCACTGTGGATTCTCCTGTAATTCGGTGACAGGAACAATGTATCCATCTACTGCGACCGTGTTCGGTCTACACATCTACTGCAGTCGGGGTGTAGATCCCAGAGCCGAATTTTCACACCATGGCAACCGTGAAATAAATGTATCAGTGCTACGTAACATAGTCTTGGCTACCTGTGGGTCTTCCGGACTCGATCGTGTGACTGGCCTGCATCCAGCGGCTGCAGGTGTACGATGCCCACCAAGCCTGTGCCCCCTCTCTGCTGCTGGGAGACTCTTTGGACGCCTGGGGGCCGAGGAGCTGCTGGTCCAGACAGACGTCTTATGTCAACGCACCTGAGAGTGACCCCCCCGGACTGCCACAACTTACATGGCAAGCCCGAGGCCCCCCCCCCCCCCCCCCCAAGTCAGCTACACCGAAGGTCACCACTAAGCCCATTAATGGCAGGTGGCTGCAGCAGTACTACATACGTGATATTACATCAGAGATCAAAAGCGTTTAACAATCAAACAGCGAAGGGCTTAATTACAAAAAGGCAAGTCATACAGTCGTTCGGCTGTTCCTCACTTGCTCGGAATCTCCATCTTCGATCCCAAATGCTGCATTATCATGACCAGCCTGCTCCGGTCGCGTCGGCATTTCACACCACGGGGTTTCCTCGGGAACGCCAGTCGCCGCAGTAAGGAAGGGCGGAGTAACTTAAAGGGCTACCCTGGAGTGGCTAACCTCTTGGGACCAGCCAGTCAGGTATGCCTTCTGCTGGGGAGGCCTTGTCCCTGGAAAAAAGGCAAAACCCGAAGCAGCGGAGAGCTACACCCCGACAGGTAGAGTGGTCGTGGTTTATCTGGCACCCAGCCTGCCCCACTTATCTAAACAACAGGCAGTAAAGGTCAGCTGAGCTCATTACACAACCCGAAGGCGGCCGCTCGCCTAATGTTTAACGGGAAGAAACAGCACAAACCCGAGGCGTGCTTTATGGACCTTATCTTCTGCCGGCTGCTTGTGTTGACAAGCATTCACCCAGGGGGAGGAAGAAAGGCTGATTTATGGGAGATGTGAGCGGCCCCATGGGTGCGTGTCTATCCAGAGGGGCGGACAGCAACACGCCACGGGGCCTGGGACAGGGGGGGTCTGGCACAATGGCATGGCCGGCAGGATCTGTGACAGACGGCCCGGTGGCTGCGGGCGGGCCTGGGCCATAAGCGCTGGCCGAAGTCCGGGAGAACAAAAGTCCGGGAGAACAAAAGTCCGGGAGAACACGGAGAAGACAAACAGAGGAATAGCGCAGAGACCAGGCTGCTTTCCCTGCTCTTTATTGGTGCGATGTGACAGGAACACGGACAAGCCCTCATTCCTTACATAGCAAGACACAAATTTAAAGTCCAGTCCAAGAATAACAAATCCCATCATTACAATCCAAAACTGAGGTAATACATTTACTCAAATTCATGCAAAACAATTCACACATACAGTGGTACCTTGGAAAACAAACTTAATTCATTCCTGAAGGCTGTTTGAGTTGCAATTTGGTCGATGTCCAAGTTAAATTTCCCCATACAAAATAATGTAAATGAATTTTATCTGTTCCAGACCCCCAAATGATTGCCTATTTAATCTTATCTACCTACTTAATGATAAAAAGCACTGACAGTTAATATAAAACTCATACACACAGGAAAAAGCACATATACAAAAGCAACAAACATAAAATAAATGACAGTCTCATACTCCGAAGCGAGAGCAGACACACGTGCACCACCTTCAGGTCTTGCTATAATTTCCTTTGCAAGTTTTACAGTTACTCTCACTACTTTCCTCTTTGGTTTGCTGCTATCACTGCTCACTTTCTTTGGATTCGTGATTACTGTATCACTAAATGTACTGTAGATGAAGCACAAAAAAAATTCACACCGAACACAGGAATACAGCATTCGCAAGTCAAACGTGGTTGAGAGGTACTGCGAGACTAAAATGGATTCATAGACATCAGCATCCCAGTAGGTCAGTTCGCCTTTGTTTCAGCCCACTCAGAGGCGTGCCTCGATTCGTACAAGTTTTAGCAGGTCTGTTTTGTTTTGTCGTGCTCCGAGTTTTCGGTCGAGTTGCAGTTAGATTTTTTTGGTAGAGCTGAAAGGGTCTCAACCCATGCAAGTTTTAGCAAGAACGGTCGAGGTACAAGTAGAAAAAAAATTCAACAGAGCCATTCAAGGTCTGAGTTGGTCAAGTTAAGAGGTGTTCCAAGAAGTTCCAAGGTTCCACTGTATATTTGGCATTAATAATTCGATGATGATATGTCGGGGGTCAGATCATTACAGCATTCTTCAGAGCCAGTCAAGAATTGCTGATGGAGGGTTATGAACTCTAGCTTGACTGTGTAGAGAAATGTACAATCATTCTCAATACCATTTTGTGATCCAACATGATTCCTGAGAATATGACTATGCTAGACAATATTTCATACCCAAACACACACACACACACATGCCACTTTCTGTAACAGGATCAGGAATCATACACTCAGTCAGATTCCCAGATAGAGATATATGTCTGTTTTCTGAGTGTGTTATTGGCTGTTTAGTCCCAGGTCACCAATGCTGCGTCGGCCAGCTCAGCCGAACCAGTGGCTGCCCATGCAGTCCCGGTTCCACTCCACTTGGCACAGCCAGCACCATTCAAACTTGCACTGGGCTTGGGGGCACACCATGTGCATGCAGCCTCCTGTGAACAACACACACACACAAAAACATGGAGCTGTCAGGGAAGGTGGCTTAGAGTCTAGGTGGATGGAGCGGTCGGGGGAAGTGGCTTAGAGTCTGGGTGGGTGGAGCGGTCGGGGGAAGTGGCTTAGAGTCTGGGTGGATGGAGCGGTCGGGGGAAGTGGCTTAGAGTCTGGGTGGATGGAGCGGTCGGGGGAAGTGGCAGAGTAGAAGTGGGTGTGGCGACACGAGATGCGCACCGCTCTTCTCCACGGGGACGCGGCAGCGTGGACATGGACGGGTTGTCTCCCCTATGGTCTTCTGGGACGCCTGCTCCCAGCGGGCACGCTGTGCTGCGTCCTCATCCACGATGTAGCCCTGCGGACAAGACAGGAACAGTAAGAGGGAAGTTAGGGGAAGAAAGTGGGCGGGGCTAAGGACTGCAGTGCACTTACTAGGCCTGTAAATAGCGATGAAAAATACAAAATGTAGACAGACTGCAGGTGACCACCACAGGGACACTTCTGTGACCTGCCATACCAACCTGCTTAGAGGGAAGAGCTCTTTCTTTAATTACAAGAGACTATCATTCATTGCTGTCAGTTAAGATTTATATAACTAATATAAAACAGTAATGTGTAACAAAGTGGCAGCTATCGGAAACTTTTTTATTAATTGTAATTAAGTATAATTAAGTGGATCTAAGCTACTGAAAATTGTCCTTCCTGTTATATATTGTGACACATCTGTTGTGTGCCAACAGTCAAACTGTGTCACTGTACAGAGCAGCTCCCCTGTGAGGAGGCTGAAGCAACCTGTCACGCAGTGTGGCTCCTACAAAGAGTCCCAAGGGGGGGGGGGGGGGGGGCTACCTGGAGTGCTACACCCGCCTCTGCCGGATGCCTGGTCTGGCACTCGCCTTCATGGAAGCTGTCCTTGCATTCACGGCAGAAGACAAACTGCAGAGAGAAAAACACGGCGTACAGGGGACATGAGACACAGCACAGGGGACAAGAGAAAAGACAGGGGAGAGGACAGGGGACAAAGAATAGGGAACAATGGACAAGAGACGACACGGGACAGAAGACAAAACAGGACAAAGCACAGTATTATATTAAGATGTCTTACTGTACGGTACTCATTACATGCATGGTGCAAAATTAAATGATGTTTTTAAGTAGTTATACTACAAGTTGTGGCTTGTGGGTATAGAGGATGGACACTGGTATGTGCTCACAGACATATAACATACTACGTAATATATATTACATATTACACAGTATGTTCTCAGGCCTTCTATATATGACTCGAATGAGATTTTATCACCAAAACGTTCCTGTTGCCTGTCAAGGTCACGTCTCAGACACCATCCATTCACAGTGCATGTTAACTGCGGTTGTATATTTGGGGAGTCGTACATATGATTCAAATGCCCCATTTTTTGACCCCGGAAAAATGGAACATGACGACCCCATAAACCTTACACACCATGACCCAGCTCATAAAAAATGTTTTTATCAGCCAGTTTACTCGAATCAAAACTAACAGGTCACACTATGGGCACCGTAAGCTAAGAAAAAAAATCCGGTCACATGACATTCCCTCCTCAAGGTTTGCTGTGCCAGTCGGGCACTAGGGGGAGCAAACCCTCCACCATTTCCCAGCACGGCCCCGTCGTGACTCCCATGGCAGAATAAGGAGGTTCCCTCTCTATGAGGCCTCATGCAATTATTTTTTAGACATTTCTGGCCCAGCTGTATCACATGAGCTCCGGAGTGACACCGTCCGCCACTGAAGTCTGCAGCCTGGAGGAGGCGAGGTGGGGGGTGCAGTGAGGGCATTGTTTTGTTTGTCCTAAGGGGGGGGGGGGCAATGTATCAAGATGGAGAAGGAATTAGGGCAGCCAAGACACACCTTCGGCTCCTGCTCTGTAGGCTGTGTTTGGGTCAGTGGTGTGGCCCCCTCCTCACTAAAAAGGGGAGTAAGGGGCACTGGCGTGAACATAGGACAAAGAAAATAAAGAAATACCCACAAGACTCACTTACCTTGGACACCCTCATACAGAAGCCCTCATTTACAGTTTATGTCTGCATTTCACAGCTTATGTGTTTTTAAAGCCACCTGCTAATCATTATGCTGTTGCCCACGTGCAGTTCCCCCTTGCAGGCAGCTTCCCCGGCTTGCTTCATTTAGCAGGCCGCAGTTTTCTTTACAGTTGCATCTTGTCTTCTGCAGTGAAATGAGCTTATTGCAATCGTAACCCTGTGAAATGTTCGTCGTTCAGGGCCATTGATTTTTTTTCCCCCCAACTCTTCAAAAATAGCATAACCACTCGAACCCAAGGACAGAAGAGGAGCCTGCTGCCGCGGTTTATGTTGTTTTTTTTTTTTTGTTTTTTTTAGTGGTGGGGAGGCGGATATTTGGGTCGAGTCAGGCCTAGATGGAAGCAGGCCAGCTGACCCCTGCGGCGGGGCTGAGAGACCGGGTGGCGTGGCGGAGCGCGGAAAACGCACGGGCGCAGCTGGGCTCTGGCGGCGGCGGGGTCACGCTGGCTGCTGACCTCATTTCCTTTTCGCCTCCCTCCAGTGAGCAACAAGAACAAACGGCCACACCTCATCCATTCCTCTCAGCCGGCACGGCCAGGTTCCCCCCCACCCCGGGCACGCCGACTCCAGGGTCACTCAGAAATATCACAGAATCGCGGCTCATTACGCTTCATATTTACTTACTTTAAATCACAATCGTGATTGTATCTACACAATACATTTATATCATTTCGGCTGTTCAGCTATAAACACTATAAAAAGCAAAAATAAATTGCACTAAAATAATGTTTTTTTCCAGTTGGTTTCAAAAGAAACTGTGTGAATGGTTTGTTTATGCAACGGTGAGACCTTAAGAGAAAATGAGTGTAATCACAGAGGGGTCGTGCCGGGGATGTGGAGGCTAAATTCTCACCTTTGTCACTACAGGGATAATCTCTCAGTGGCCCTTGGGGGCCGGGGACTTGCACCTGCTTGCTGTGGGGGAGGGGCGGGTGTGGTTTTGCACACTCTCCCCCTGTTTGCACACAGTCAAGGTAACTGGTATCTAAATAGCCCACAATGTAAATAGCCCTGGGTACCCTCTGACTTGTGCTCTATGCTGGATGGGACTGGCTTCATACTCAGTGTGACTCTATACTGGATAAAAAGCTGGATCATAATCTTGTTTAATTAACCAATTAAAAAAGAGATACTTTTTGTCTTATTCTGGTTTCTATAAAAGCATCACTAGGCAGACTTCCATAATGTACCCTAGTTAGACCCATCCTCTCCCTACAATCCGCTCTGCTAATCACAAATACATTAAATTTCCTGCCCGCTAGAGTTAAAGGATTCAGCCGTGCTTTCTCCTACAGCACTGAGTGGTGATAGCAGCCGACGTCACGAACAGCAGGGAACACTGGTGCCCCCCTCGGAGCCCCAGTGAAGCTGCACTCATCTTTTATTCCTGCAGCAGGGGCATCTAAACCCATATGGGGAAAAGAGGAGGAAAAAAACAGGATGGATTGGCAGACCAACATATCGATTTTTGTGTAAGTGGAGTCTGTAACAGGACAAGTGTGAGGAGCTCCCTGGACAGATTTAAAACCACAGCAACTCATCAAAACCCGTTTGATTATGCTCCCTCCATTCCACCAGGATACCCCTCTGTGTTTGGGCCCCCTTCCTATTCCACCAGGATACCCCTCTGTGTTTGGGCCCCCTTCCTATTCCACCAGGATA